ATGTAGCTCTGATTTCTGGTAAGTTTCTAATTTGGATGGCAATCTCTATCTCTTTCTCTCTCACTCAAACACATGCACAAATTATATATCTAAATACAATTTATCAGATGTGAACTTGTTGACTGGTTTTATGCATTTTAGGTATTGAATTATGAACTGAATATTGGAAATTAAAATTTAGTCTAATTACACTCAAGATAAGGACTTTTGTTTTATTGTGCATAATTTTTATTGAAGATTAAAGATAATTATCACCCACCATGTATTTACAGAACCCTATTAGGGTACAGGTAACATAACTGTTTTTGGCATGGAAAGTAGAGCAGAGTTCAAATTTTGGTCTAGTCTGTTGTGTTCACTTTCATACTAATGCCCTTGGGAAAGACATGCCTTCTTTTCTCTCCCAACTATGGGTTAAATAGAGTGGACTAGGCTCTCTTGGCTTAGTTGGTTGGCAGTCTAGAAGTCTTCAAGACAAGAAGGCCATAGGAAATAACTAGTATCTTAAGTCATAGTAATTTAAATAATAAAAAGGAATTTATAGAGAATCATGATTGTCTATGTCCTGAAGGATCATGGCATTGACAAAAAAAAAAAATCTAAAACAAAAATGGAAGCATTTCTATCCTTGGATTACTACATATTTTGCTCATTAACATCAACAAGTTCTTTTCTTGCTGTGATCTTATTTCTGGATTTTATTGATTTCTTTCATTTTAAGGACAAATTTTCAATTCAAAACAGTACATGGTCCTGTTGTTGTGATAGATACCTTAGGCAAAATCTCTAAGTTTTTGCCAAAGTGCTTTACCAAAATACAATTTGAACAAGTGTTGTGCAAGGACCTGTATAATCGATTATGCAGCTATTAGATTTTTTAAGTTAAAGATTTGATACCATCTGAAATGAAACCGGTTTGGTGGCCAAGATATTCTGCACCCTCTGACATTGTACATGGTCATTTTTTGTTTCTTTTATAGTTTAACTTTGTTTAAAAGCTAATGTATCGAGTTTATGAAAATTGTAGGTTGATCCTGAACACTTGATCACCAACTTAAGTACATCATTGGGAGGGGGGGGGGTGCTGAAAAGTTCTCATCCTGACGGGATTCCAAAAAAGGGATGAATCAAAAAGGTTCCCATTATGGTTGCCTCCCCTTCATATCCCCCCCCCCCGCTCAAAAGCATGCACATAATCAATACAAATTACTATAACTGTCAAGATAACATGTGATGAAAATTTGGATAAGTCCTGTAGAAAACATTAGCAAACCAGGATACATATACTACTGTTCAAAAGTTTGAAGCCACTCCCAGAATTAGCATGGGATGAACTTGAAAAATAAATGAAAGAGCTCTTAGAGTCATTGAAAAAAGAATGGAATTAATTATCAAACTTCTACTTTGAGAAACTTTTGCAACAAATGCTAAAAAATTTGTGCTGCAATAATCAAGCCTAAAGGAGGATATTTTGACAAGACAAAATTTAATCATAAAATGCTTTTTTTTTTTTTTTTCTTCCCCCCCCTCTCTTTCTGTCATGATAAAATTTATAATAAAAAATCAAGTCTCACTTTTTTTTTAACTTTGTATAATAATTTTATATCATTTAAAGAACAAAACAACTACATTTTGGGCCAGTTTAAAAAAAATTACCTGTAGTGGTCTCAAAATTTTGATCTGTAATATATGTTCATTTTATATGCAGATATTGTGCACTAGAATGCTTCCTCAAATCTGTTATTCTGTGGTCATAGAATGTTTTGGGTCTCTCTAACATACTTTTTCTCCTATGGTCCCAGCTGAGTGAAATCATTTCTCAACTAGCATTCTGTCATAGCTTCCGCATAATTGCAAGATTTGTAACCATATTTGTCCCTACTCAAATGCAATCCTTTTATAAAATCCTATGTATGAATTGTGATCAATTGGCATTTGTTTATAATATACCCTGTGATGTCAACTCATGATAATTTTGTAATGATTGAAATAGAAATGAGGGTGGGGAAGTCTTGAATTCATCTTACCATTTGACATTATTAAATAAAGCTATGACTGTCATATATGTTCATTTGTTTTCTCTTATCTTGCTCACTTGTATTGATAGTTTATTTTCGTAAGTCTATTTTAATCGAGCTGATAAAGATGAACCAGGAAAAAGTAGACAGAATTGAAAACTTGAAATGTATCTAATTCTTAAAAATTGACTTTTTTTTTTTTTTTTTTTCTTTAAAGAAAATGCTATTTTCAGTCTTTCAAAGTAAAATCTTTTTTTAAGATAGCAGCTGGGTTTTAGCTTGTATTTATTGCACATTTCTTAATGTTTGCTTGTCGATATAATCGGTGACATTTCATTAATATAAAAACATGCAGTTAATAAATTGTTATCTCTGACCTTTTTATGACAAGATTGCAAATCTCACGAGTCTTAAGTCTAGAAGTAAAATGAGCAAATATTTCAGGTGTTAGCATGCACAATATTTTTAATTTTTCATCTCAGTTTTAACAGGCATATGCAAATCTGCTATTCTCTCCAACTTGACTGTTATATATAACAATTGGCCTCAGTTTCATAATAGACATGCATACTTCTTTCATTACAAATAGTGTTCACACACACTCACAGCCTTTTATGAAGTAAGTTGGTATTTTCTGCACAAAAGGAAAAGTAGTTATAACTTGTACAAATTAGGAACAATGCAAAGGGTAATCAAATTGGTTTACATCAAGAAATTGTTTACATAATCTGAAACTTAAACCTGGATTAGAATTGGAACTATTTTAGATGTTCAGCTTAGCAATGACTTAGTTATATAATTTTATTTTTTATGTGTAACACTTCCCCATGTACAGATACACTATATATATATATATATATATATATATATATATATATATATATATATATACACACACACACTATGATTCTTGACAAGTAGTAGCCCTTTGATTTCAGTATGCATTCATTGCATCAAACAGATTTAACTGCTTGTGACTTGTTTTTTCTCAAAGCTAAAACTGCTGTTGGAAGGGGATTTCAGACAGACAGACAAGATTTAATGTGGTAGTTGATAGCAATTTTGACTTTCTTGTGGACAGTTTTGTATAGTGGAAGGGACACTGAGATAATTGGATTATTAAGGGCTGAACTTTGAAGGAGATAAGGCACTATTGCCCTGGGTAGGCTAACTGGCAACTTTCTGGAAAATAACCAGCCATTTAATATTAACGAAACAGAAAATAAAGTAGCCTACCTAGGGCAATAGTGCCTTATCTCCTTCAAAGTTCAGCCATTAATAATCCAATTAACTCGGTATCCTTTCCACTATTCAAAACTGTCCACAAGAAAGTCAAAATTGACTTCTGGTGGAAGTGGGGTGGGGATATGAAGCAGTAATAGTTGCATTTGAACCTGGTATGGTTTTTTGTGTGTGTGTGTATATATATATATATATATATATATATATATATATAATGAAATATCTGACAGGGAATAGGTGATTAAACACTGAATTCAAATTTATTTTTATTTATTTTTTTTATTTTTATTTTTTTACCTCAAACTTGTTTTGATATTTAATAAATGGAAATCTTGTGAAAAACTAATTGGGTGCTCTTATTAATAATGGGGAATACCCCCAATGATAGATATCTGAATGTATAATATATTTGAAAATGAAATTTATTTGGCATTTACTTATTGCAAGATTTGTGAATTCCAAACATTTGACTAGATTAAAATCATTGGCGATGTCAAGGCTGATAGTTCAATTTTGATAAAATATCTTGGTTATTAAGAATCTCAAGTTTGTCAAAATTTTTCTTTTAAAGATAATATACTAGTAAAATCACTTGTTCTGTATTTTCAGTTTAAGCATATTTTCATGTTTCTTTTGGGCCAGGTGTGACACTTAGTTTCTATCTTGCTATACAAAACAAAATTCAGAACATGTGAAATTTTGTATATGTAATTAAAATGTGAATATTTAATTCCATAACCATCTGATAGGATTCAGTGAATATCAAAACACAACACAATCTCTTTGAAGATCACTTCTTGATTCTTTACTAGATAAATAGATAGATAAGTAGATTACTAAATTGGGATTTTTTTAGGGATCTTGTCAAACATTTTAAAATTCTAGTATTTTTTCAAGTGAACATTTTTTTTAGCAGGATTTTTGTCTGAAACTGACGTAACAATCTGATGTTAGCTAAAAATAAACAGTAGGTATTTACTTGAATTAACTAAGGCTGTCTCTTCTTTAAGTGATGGTCATTTTGTGGAGGTCAATATGCTGCTCATGTAAATTGGACTTTTGTTTCATTAGTACATTCAGATTAGTACTTGAGATGAATTTCAAGCTGTTATTGGGCTGGTTTAAACACACTAGAATCTTATGACTTTTTTTATACACTGTGCCAAAATGTTTTCTTACAAAAACAACCTTAATTGCATATAGCGTCTTGAATATTACCTCCCAGGTGAGGTAATCAGAAAGGCATTGTTATTCACTAGGGGAAGCAATGGCTTTTAAATAATAACAAACTTCATCCCTATCCTTTCATATCTGCAATCTTGCTTCTAGCAGAACAAAGGTAATATATAGTGTTGTGCCAAGTATGAAAGGGTTACATCTGTAATTTGATGCTTTTTTATTTTGCATAGGGTGATTTTTTTTTTTTTTTTTTTTTTCTTTTAGGTGCCTGTTTCTTGCTGTTGCATGTATATATATATAGATTTATTCTTACTTATGCAAGAAACCTCTTCACTTGTACACTATCGAAATATCTTACAGCTTACATGGAGTTATTTAAAATCATAGAGATATGAAGAACCTCATCAGTTGATCCAATTAGGAATCAATATGCTTAATATATTTCTAACTTTTGGGATTTAAAAACTTCTTTTCAAGCAGATCGTTATATAATTTTAGTTTTGCAATGTTTTTTTAATAACTTACTTTTTTTTTTTTTTTTTTTTTCTTTTTAAATTTCAGTATGTGTTTCAAAATGAAACCAACCATAGCATCCTTCTGACCTGGGCAGGTAATGGTGTAAGTATTTATTTTTATAAATTTATTACTCAAACAATATTGCAAAGAGTAGAAATACAAATTTCAATGTTGTAATGATTGTTTTCATACATGTGCATTATAACTCTTAAATATAAAAGCAAACATGAATATTCAGTAGTGAGACTAGTTTTCAGTTGGGCTAGTTCAGTGTTAATCTTGAAAAGGTACTCAAAAGTAGATTTGGATTGTTACTATCTTCATGTCTTTTTGACCATATGTAGAGACTTATAAACTAAAGCATGTGTATGTATAGTGTGTTGTATTAGTAACCTTGATGTGGATATTTTCCTTATTTTTTTAAGATTTTCATTGATAATCTCATTATGTAAACGCTAAAGCAAAATTTTATTGTTTTAGTATTTCTATATTAGCCTAACTACTTTGATAGTAAAACAGTTTTGTTTTAGGTCAAATCTCACTATCCTTAATTATTTTTACCTTTCCCCCACCCACTTGGTTTACTTTTGGTGAAGAAATGTCAATATTCTGACAATATGATTCTTATTATGCACTGGTTGGAAATTAACCCTTTCTCTTGCACCACTTATTTTGTAAGTATTCCGACTTACAGCCATGCCAGGTTGAAACACCTGTTCTCATACAATCACTGAAGTTAAGCAATATTGAGCATGGTCAGTACCTAGATAGGTGACTGCTTGGGTATACCAGGTGCTGTCAGCTTGGATGTGTGAATGGTGTAAAGGATAATGGTGCCAAATTGGAGAGCCAAGTTCCAGTTTGGTTTGTTATATTCACTTATGTACAAATATCCTTAGGAAAAGTGTGAATCTACCTTTTCTGCCCCTAGCTATGGACTAGTATCTATAAAATCATTATTATCTCAAAAAAAATTCTTACAATCTAAAAATATTTTCTGGCTTTAAATTACCTGCAAAAGGTTGATAAACCAGAAAAAAGATCAATCAGTCAATTTAAGTATTCCTTGATTAACCAGGTAATAAGAGGGTTTCTTATGTCTTCTCTTACTGTTTATTCTATATCTCACTATCCATTTGTTATAGAATTGTTGAAGATATATTTTGTGGTGCTATAAATTCCTCAAGGTTTTATTTTTTACTTTTGTTCCTCCCCTCTTTCAAAAATGATTTTTTGATTTTAATGAAGCAAACTTTAAACTCTATTAACAGGAAGTGCTTGATAAGCATTATTTTTTTTTTTGTATTTGTCATCTTTCCATTATCTCTACTTGGAAAGCCTTCACAACCTAACCTAACCATTTTATCTGAGAATCTAACATTTAGCATCATATCTCTGCAAATTGATAAAAAATATTTCTACTTTCAGCTGGCTATCTTCCTCCAAAGAAACCATCTTTTAATATATTTTTAATATCACTGGATCTTACATTATTTACATTATTTGGACTATTGTTCTCATCTTTGTCGCCATACTTATTACAAAGTTTCAGCTGTTGTATACACCGGCCTTCTTCAGGTGGTTGAAATGTTGAACTGAACCCTTTATTTCACTCACTGGAGTAGACTGTTCTAGTTCCATGTGCCATGTTTAATGGATGTCAGTTATCAATTATCTCCTGTTAATTTCCACTGCCTTAGCCGGGTATTGAACTCACACTCTTTAGGTCCTGTCACTGGATCTAACTAACGCCTTTATCCATTGTGCCATGTATCCTTGAGGACATCTGTGTATGAAACGTTGGAATAAATATGGCAACAAATATGTGGACAATAGTCCGAATGATGTAAATAATACCGCATCTAAGAAATATAGACTATCACTGTATCTTATGTCACTTTTTCATAACTTCTTTTTACTTCCCTTTGGAAAACTAACAATACTCATAGATTATACTTGTTTCAGTTGGGTACCATTGCTACTGCTATGCATTTTTTTTCTCTTCTAATCTGCACACTTTAAAGGTTCAATGACTTGAATATTTGAGAGTAGCTTGGCAGTTTGTTGGGCTGCTGAAAAGCCTCTTATATCAGCATTTTAAAAATGTTATTAAATCAATATTCTATACATTTGATCTATAATATCTGGAGACTTTTTTTTCTTCTCCATTATAAATTTTTGAAAAGCAACATTGACTGGTTTGTCCTCTCTTCTCTCTCCATCTCCTTCATCCTTCCTTGGAGAAAAAAGCTTCTTATATTCATGAACTTGACATTTTTGGCAAAACAAATATATAAGTATTTTACAAAATGAATTTTTAATTATACATAACTTATAGTGACTTAAATTTAAATTGTACTTTTTTTTGTCATTTAAGACTTATAGTAGAAAGGTATATTATTATTATTTATTTTATTTATTTACTTTTTGACAGTCAATTATGTGCCATGCGTGATACATGCTTAGGCGATCATGTATCTTTTGATACATGACTGATGAGGCAGATTTTTTCATGCACTAGGTTGCCATTTCTTTCTGCAGTAGACCAGTTTCCATCCAAGGCTATAGAACCTGGTCTGCCCTGTTATTTACCCATAACTGGGGGGAGAAGAGGATTCATATATTTCCAAAGGGTATTAGCATGTAATGGATTCAACTGGAATTTGAACTTGGTTCTCCGATTCCTTATTCCGAGCTGCTTTCCATTACTCCATTGACATTAAGTTTGTTAAATCTAATAAAATTCATCTAACATATCAGTGATTTCCAACCTTTTTCTCTATGGTTTACTTTTTGGATAAAATTTTTTTTTCTACACCAAATATTTTACTGATGAGGTATGCTGGTTTGGTGATTGCTGAGATCCTTGATGATTTATATATCAAACTTAAATTCTGAAAAGGAAACTTGAAAAGCCAAGGTCAACCAAGAGAAGACAATATTTATCATTAATTGTGCTAATATGAATACCTTACATGACTCTGAAAATGGTTAAGTGCCATTGCTAGTCACCATATCTTCTGCTCTGATTGTAATCACTGGGTTCATGGCAGGTATAGTGGCATTTGTAGTTGAGGTTGCTAGTTACAGGTGAAAGATATAATAGCCCTTTTAAACCCATGAAGGAATGTTCTAGTGAGTCAATCCTGTTATTTGATTGTTACCTGGGTAACATGGTTGGTGCTGGTGGCAACAGTTCTAGACTTAGAGCTGCTTGGAAGGTTTAAAAAAAACCCAAAAAACATCTGCTGCCCAGATCGACAAACCATTACATCACTTTTGGCATTTAAAACAATGTTTACAATTCCTGTATTTGTAGTGTCTTGACCTATGCTGATGAATCTTTGACTGTGTGTGCTGAAGACAAGTTACATTGTCTTCTGTGATCAGGTGGTGTAAAGCCTCTTTAACAGTATAGTGTCATTGTATGAATATCTAGGCTACTTTGCTCTGGTTTTCTTGCTAGACTCTCCAAAGACCATGATGATTTGACCATGTACAATGAAACGATTCAGTTGAAACGGTGTACTGAGGGATGTTATGAGAATGGCCAAAGAAAACTTGGAGAGAAGGTTTCAATGACCTTAAGAAATTGAAAGAAGACTTTATTCTAGATAAAGTAATCAGGCAAAGTGCATTGTAATGGGTTTTTCAATGTTCAACCTTTTATATCAAGGAAAGATGAAGTGGATAGTGAAATACTTAAAAGCAAAGCATAGCTTTTTTTAACTACTTTATAATATTGGCACATTCACAAAGTATAAAATACTACAGCTGTATAAAAACTCATCTGGAAAAAAAAAATAAAGACAAGCCTCTTATACATTCAACAAGCGATGAGGGTGGTGGTTGATTTTTTTTGTGTGTCAAGTATTGTCAAGTATGAAACCAATGAACTCTAAAAACAGAAGCCTTTCCTTTTTATGGTTTTTGGTATTTAACAGAGCTGAATATCTCTTCATAATGTGAAGAACTGTCAAAGACTAACTAAAGATATTGAAAAGATGTATGGATACTGTTTATTTGATGTATATCGACCATCCTGGGTAAATCGATAAACTACATCCAACAGCAAGCCCTCTGATCAGGAGATTTTGAGGACTTCAGGACCACCTCTTAATTGCTGGTGTTTCCAGGTCTACCTTGACTTGCGGTGGTAGCACCTGTTAGGGTCCCAGCTATGGGCAAATTGTTAACCCCCAAACTGGGGTCAAAACACTATGAAAGTGTAAAAATAGGTTTTAATACTAGAAATACTTTGTAAAAAAATTATTACCATATATTTTTGAAAAAAAAAAAAATATTACCAGCATTAAATAACCCGTTGAGGTTGATATGCCATAAACCAAACTGTAGATTGAAAAAAAGAGACCAGTTGTATATTCCAGTGTTTTATCTTCAAAGTTTGATTACTCTAAATACAGACCATTTCCTCCTCAATCAATGTTAGGCTTGAACAGCTTGTAAAGTGGTATTTGTCTGCAGACAATAATGTAATGTAATCATGGTTTTAAGTTTACGTGAACATGACCCTTGAACTGCCACGATCAAACCTTCAGTCACAATATACCCACCTGTTGCAAATTTTGGACATTAACTTTGAACTAATGTGGACTGTAGTACTATGAGAATGCTTGCCACTCCAGATAGTCCACAAGTAAACTGAGAAGCAGTCTTGTGCTCTGCTTAATTATAAAGTCATTTGCATAGGCAGCAGACAGCCAGCACAAAATACTTATCAGTTATTTCTGTTACCTGCCAAAATAAATGCATGATTTTCCTTGCTATTCTCTTCTATGTACTGTATCTCTTTAGGATGTTGGCAATCCTGACTCTTCACAATCTCGTCCTTTGTAGTGTTACGTGTTGATAATTGTAACAAAGGAAAAAAAATGATTTACCACAACACAGAGCTAAATCACAAACAAATATTTAATTTAATAAAACAGAACATAAAATATATACAGGATAAACAATTGTGGCCTACAAAACAGAAAACACAGAGTTACTGGCGAAGTGTTACGAGGGAGAAGGAAAGGGAGTCAAATATCTTTATCACTTTAGGGCTAGTAAAGTAATCTAAGTGCTATATTTGGAAATCCGCAAAGGTGTGTAAATAAATATTCATTTTTAGTTTGCTCAATGAAAATTAGTCAAAATTCTATTTACCAAATTTGTTCCATGAAATTCTCTTTTGGGTTTTTGTTGGTTGGCAACTTTTTATAGAGATTCTTTCAGCTGGATATAATAGTCCTTGAAGCAGAAGCCGGTTGATAACAGCAGAAATTTCCCTTCATCAACTGACAACCCTTTTCCAAAATCCCATTTTTATAGGGGGCTAACACCTAATTTGCATATTTCTAGATGTTTCTCGAATCATCTAGATTTTTCTCGAATATACTAGAATGATCTAGAATCTTCCAAACATTCTATTTCTAATTTCTCGATTTTACAACTACTTCATGAATGAAAACTTTTTTTGTAATAACAAGTAGAACTCAGTGGAATCCCTTATTATAGAAATGCATCCTCGTAACAGTAGCTCTTAATAAATTTTGTCTTTTTTGTTATCTCTCCTAACCCTAGATCTGTTATCCATTTACTTAAGCTTGCTTGTTTTTTTCTGTCCCCTCTTGCCTTATAATTGTAGATAAAAATCAACATGTTTGTAGTTGAAAGTTATTTACATAGAAAGTGGAGTTAGAACAAAAATTAACAATTGTAGTTTTCTTGTAAGGGATGTTATTGTTATGTAAAGGAAAAAAAAATCTAATCTACTAGAATAAAAATACACTTCTAAATCAAATTATTTACTATATGATATTTGAACATTTTTACTATGTATAATTTAAATATTTCGGAGCAAAAAAAAGTTTACTTAAATCTGTCAGTTAAGTCACTCTAAAGTAACTAAATTTTATATAAATATCATGGAACATGTTAGAAGTTTAAACAATTTCATTTAAATTCCTATTGAAAACAATTCTTAGATTCAACACTATTGTAATAAGCTTGAAACAAATATGCTTTTTCATTGAGAGAAAAAAAAATATGACTATTCACTTTAGTGATAATAGGATGTAAAAAGTTTTAGTATCACAAATTTGAATGACTCAGCTTTCTCAATTTCAAAGCTTAAATTTTATTTTTTATTTTTTTTTAATCATTTCTTTTGTGGATCCTTAGTACTGTGATTGTAAACTGTATGCACAAATTAAAATTTTTAATTGTTCTCATGCATTTTTTTTCTCTTTTTTTCCAAATAGAATGAAATATTAAAGTATAAAGTACTCTTGTAGATAATGCTTAATATATACCCTGAATATCAGTTAAAACCTGGGAGATTATGGATGAAGAATATAAACTATTGGCTTTGTGATTCTCCTTTGAGTTATGCATCAAAATTCTTGGAAGTGGTTCAGGAAGCCTTGGCATCAAAAGCTATGCACTGCCTTTAGGTTGGATGAAAAGTACCGACCCATACTTGTACCAAAAGAAATGAAGTTCAAAAGTTTAACAAATGAACAAATCATGCTTCATTTATAAATTTAGTCAACTTTATAAATCTTAACCCTGTTATTTTTATTTATTTTTTTCCTGAATGAATATGAATTCTAATTGGGTATTAAGATCAAGGTATGGTTTATAGATGAAGTTGGATACTTTTTTTTTGAAAGCTCATGTCATCTTTATGATGGGATTTCATTCCAAGAATTGAACTATTGAACTGATTCTTTCTGTTGGTTTGTCACCACAATGTTTTGGAAAAATAAGTCTTTTTACCATACTAGTCTGGAAAACACAATATGTGTCATTGTAGTAATGGTATTTGTGTATTAAAATAATCTGCTGAGACTGATTACAGCTTATATGCAGGTAGCTATGCCTCAGTTAAGCCTTTAATGCATTGAAACTATTAAAGTCTTGCCATATAAGTATTTACTCTTGAAAATCATCTTACATTGCATAATGAAGCTTCTTACTTTATGAATTTATTAAAGCATTATTGAAGATTCTGTCCTGCATATTTCTAGATGTTACCAGAAATTCTAATAGTTTCATTTCTCACATTTCTCACTTGTGGAAATCTATTTTGATTTCTTTCTTCCTTGCAACCTACAATATTCAAAAATTTAAATGCAACATGATTTGCAATCTTCTGTCTTCCTGAGTCCTGTTCTTTTATTGTCCTTTCAAGTGTTCTCATTCTCTTTCACTCCCAGTAACCCCTTATGTCTTAGTTGCATGGAGTGAAATGATAAAAAAAAAGCATGAAAAGATAGTGAAACTAATTACCCAAATTAAAAGGAAAATATACAATACTAGAAATAACTGAAAATTTCAGAGTTTTCCTATTTGAATTTTCTGATTAAATTTAAAGTTAATGATTGAATAAGCTCATGGCGAGTTTTATGACAATAAAATATGTGTAGAAATTCCATTATCACATTGTTAAATATTTGAGCTTAACAACTTTTACAGAATATTGTAATAACCATCATAAATATGAATGCTGGTTGTTATTTTAAGAAGGGGATACAAATGAAAAGATTGAAATTGACAACTTTTCCATTTCACTAAAACTGACATTAAACATTTCATCTTTCATTTTCTCACTGAAACCAAGTAACGTCTCTGATATGTCTTTTCTATTTTCCAAGCGTTCAAAATGCAATAGTTGATTATTTATGAAGTATTAGCAGGTCGTAAGTGTCATGCTAACTATAAAGGTGGGACAAGGAGAACTATAAGAGGGACTACTGGGATGAAATTAAATGACAGATATTTAAAATTGTAATTTTTACAGTGAATGCCACCTCCCTGAAAGCAAGCAGCCATAATCCCATCTTGAATCATACTTATTATAAAACCCAGGTTGTGTGTGTGTGTGTGTCTGTTTCGTTTATATATTGGATCGGATTTCCTACATTTTTCAACCAATTTCAACAAAACTTCACAGGACTACGTAAAATTACCTTGCGGTGGTTCTGACAGCACCAAAAATTGGAAAAACACAATTGTTTTTGCGCAAAATCAATTTGAAAACACGATTAAGAGGCATCGCTGTCAAGAATGAAAGGGGGACAAATCATATCGAGTTATACTTATTATAAAACCCAGGTTGCTTGTCAGTGTGTGTCTGTGTTCATTTATATATGGGATCGGATTTCCTACATTTTTCAACCAATTTCAACAAAACTTCACTTTTTTTTGGGGGCAGGTAGTGTTTCTTATTGTTTTGCACACTTTTTTCTTTATTTTTACATTCAGAATGCTTTAAAAATTCCATTTACAAGACAATTGTTTATAATAAAATTGAAAATTCTATTCAATCAGTAGACTCATAATGATTGAAAACAATGCTTTTGTTTGAGTTTTGGTTTGACCAATTCGTAAAAAAAAAAAAACAAAAAAAAAAAACTAATTAAGACATGCATGTCCATCAACCTTAAACAATAATCTTTGTCAATTTTATTTTTCAGTCTTTATGATGGTTGATACTTGATCTATCTCTTACAGTTACATCGCCGGGCTCTACCACTAGTATATGTGTATAAACATTCTGAAACTACCCACTGTGTGCAGTGTCTAAAATTTAGAATTGAATTTTTCTTCATTTCCGACATAACTGTATATACTCGAGAATATGTTGCACTTTTTTCATTAAAATTTCAATAAAAATTAGGGGTGCAATCTATCCACTTGATATCATAGAGAATCTGAAATAGACTGTAGTGTATCAGTAGTCCAGACAAGTACCCTGGGCTCTACCATGAGCAAGGTGAGGAAAAAATGAATTTTTCCTGATATCTTGATTATATGCAATTGCCTCTTCCAACAGTAACATGTCATGCATCAAATAAAATCGTTCGATCTGCACTTCTCATATTTAACATTTGTTATTTGATTTACAATGAAAAAATTATCATTTTCAAGTGATTTTTAGTACTGAAGTGATTACCAGTATCCAAATTTTCAGCTAAACAGAGCAGCCCTGCACTTGATAAGTAAATACCATGCAATTACAACCAATCACATTTCTTATGTTTTAGTATATGTAAGCAAAGTTTTGAAAAAAGGTGAATATTTGAAAATATTTAACAAATATTAGTTATATTTACGTTAAAAAAGAGCCATTTTAACTCTCCAGGTTATAGTGCCACCGATCTGTAAGTCAACCACAAATACTCACTTTGACAACCCCAAACTAAGGGTGCAACCTATACGTTAGTATATATAGTATGTGTTGTCATGACTTAAAAATATCTTTTTTTTCTTTTTTCTTTTATCAATGCCATTTTTGTTTCCATTCAAAGCTTTTGATTTTAAACTTTCAGATTATTTTGGTTGGTACAACTACAGAAATTCCTGGATATGCTCATTCCTCGAATCTTTACATAAGGTAAAAAAACAAAACAAAACATTTTTATTCTAATTCTATTGGACTTTCAAATTACAATGTAAATGGAAAGAACATATTCTTATTTTTAATTCCTGTATTTGGGAAAAGATGATCTTGTCCACTCATCTTAATTTTATAATTTGTATGTAAATGGAGTTTGTCCATGGTTGTTAAATATTTGTATGTGAAATATGATCTGGTATGAGTAAGCCATATTTTTCTTTTTCTTTAGCACAGATTATGGTAAAACTTTCCAGAAAATAAATAAAGTAATTGAAGACCATATGATAAAAAAGGGAAATGGTCTGCAACGCCACCGTTTTAATAAAAAGAAGGTAAACTTTATTTTGAAATTTATGGCATGCTGAAAGCTGTTGGTAATCTCCCTATCCCCCTCCCTATCCCTATCCCCTCCCTATCCCCTCCCTATCCCTATCCCCTCCCTATCCCTATCCCCTCCCTATCCCTCCCTATCCCTATCCCCCTCCCTATCCCCTCCCTATCCCTATCCCCTCCCTATCCCCCCTCCCTATCCCTATCCCCTCCCTATCCCTATCCCCCTCCCTATCCCTCTCCTCTCACCTCCCTCTCCTCTCACCTCCCTCTCTTCCTGTCTCCCACTCCTAATCTACTCCCTTCTCCCCGCTATAATATCCCTCTCCCTATTTGCTTACCATGTTTTTACTTTTGAGATTAATTTTAGACTCTTTTGACAAGTTACAAGTATATAGCACCTCAAATACATTCCAGCACTCTACATTTATGTTGAGCATAAAACTGTATACATTTTATTTAATACTGAATTGTGATAGCTGATAAATTTTTGATACATGAGGGTGTTATATAAAAAAAAAAAAAAATTGTTTAATACAATGTGAAAAATAGTGGGCCCTGATTGACACTATATTCCTTCACTTTGGTCTCGTGTTCAATCTCCTTTGTTTACAAATAACTTTCTCTCCATTTTCATCTAGTGTTATCTTTATTCCAGGTTTACATTGTAACATATTGTAGACCTCATTCTTGCTTCTTCCTGACCAATGATGGAGGTCACCACTTCAGTAAAAGTGTTCTGGATTTTGACTTGGACAGTGCCCTGACATTTCACCAGAAAGAAGAATACATATTAACTCTTTCACAAAAAGAGAAGGTAAGGACTTATTTCTTTCTTTATTTGTTATTTCTTGTTTTTATTTGGTTTAATAAATTTTGCCCAATACAAGACTTGAAAGCCACTCAAGATAGAAGATTATCAGCATATAATGGTTATAATGAATAAGGTGTGTGACCTGAATCAAAATGAAATTGGCAGGAAATGAAAATGAGTCAAAATTGACCCTTGACTTAGATAGGTTAAGATTTGAAGTGTTCAGGGAAACACCCACATGAGTCTTTCACAAAGTGGCAGTTCTTGGAGGGGAGGGAGCTGTCAGTGGAACTCACTCCTTACTTTTGGAACACAGAAAATGTGGTTGATTCAACTCTATAGAACTGGCTTAGTGTATTTTAGTTGTAAATGTTTTGAACTGGTAGTTCATCAAAATTTATGAAAGAACTTTTTTATAAATGTTCTTTGTTCAATAAAATTATTGGCTAAACTGCAAAACCACTGAGAGAAGGTAGCAAAGGAGAGTGAGAAGAAGGGACTAAGCATAACTACAAAAGTAGTTGCTGGTAATCGGCAAAAAGATGAGCCTGAAATGTAATTTACAGGTCGGGGACACTAAATTCAAGCAGGTGCAGAAATTTAAATATCTGGGAAGTGTTCTGACAGAGGATGGAAAGTGATACTGAAATCTGAAGATGTATCAGGATGGCCAAAGATGCATTCCAAAATCTAGGCAGACTACTACAAGACAGGAGGGTTTCATTGGCAACAAAGAAAAGAGTACTGAACTGCTACATGATATCTGTCCTCCTTTTATGGCAGCAAATGTTGGACAGTCTTCTCAAGGATGAAGAAGAGACTCTAGGCAACAGAGGTGTGGTTCTACAGAAGGATGCTAAGGACACCATGGACCAAACATGTGAGCAATGCTGAGGTTTTGGAGAGGATGCAAACAAAGAGGAAACTTATACTTAACATCAGGAAGAGGCAGTTGAAATTTATGGGATATGTAATGAGAAAAGAGGGCTTAGAGAATCTCATAATTACAGGGCAGATTGAAGGAAAGAGGGACAAGGGACGGTAACATGTGACCCTACTTAACAGGCTTAAGCAGGTAGATAGCAGAACAGGGTTGGGAGAAATAACAAAAAGACAAAACTTATTGAGTGCTACAAGGGACAGGAGGTCTTCAGGTTATGTCAGACCCAATGTATGGTGTTTCGTGATTATGGCGCCATCTTCCATAGTATAATACGTCCTCACACAGCACTATATGAGGAAGACACCGTTGTTTCTTCGCCGGCTGTACACCATATTGGATTGTACTACATTATCATCTCTTGTTTGTGTTTTTTTTTTTTTTTTTTTTTTTTTTTTTTTTTAACTTTTTGCCTTTCATTATAGCTCCCAAGTGTAAAGCAGACTCGTGGGTGCTTATGTAGGTGAATTCCTACCTACATCAAAAGCACTATAGGAACAGATCTCTGTAAGTCGAGGACCCCCTGTATATACATATATTTGCACTTACAACTAGGAATATAAATAATTTATAAAGGAAACTGTGTTCATGATATAACTTTGTTCATAAAAGAATTTCTATTTCTGTCAAAATTCTTAAAAAAATTGCTTGTGCATTATTTATAACTTAACATTATTGGGAAAAACTTGATAAAGTTAAAATTGTTTTTGAGTTCCCTCCCACCCCATGTTACAAAGTGTAGGTGTAGAGAGAGGAAGGAAAGAACTGGTTTAGTTAACCTAAGCTTTATCAGGTAGAAACTGTCCTCTAAATTTAGAGAGAAAATGATACCTGAAAGGCAGGTATTATTTCTTGTGTAGATTGTAATATTAAATCAAGGCATTTTATTGATTGGTTTATTGACAAGGTGTGAATGTGGTCATACTTAACAGCTGATATAATTTATTTTTGCTTAATTTTATTAACAACTCTTTCCCAATAATAGTTGTCCTGCTTCTAACTGATTCTCATTGTTAAAATAAATGAGTAGTTGCCAGACATTTGGCTTTTTATAATGTAGATGAAATGTTAGGTGATTTGGTATTTTTTTAAAAGTTGTTTTGAAAGATGTTGGCTTGGCTTATGCTATGAAAATATTTTTGTTTATAAAGTTCTGTTTTTTTTCTTTTCCTTTTAATACCATTTTTATTTTAGGCATTTATTTTTTTTGTCTTTTTTTAGACATTGCATGTTACACAAGATGGTGGCATGAGTTGGAAGAAAATTGGATCACGTATTTATTCTTATTATTGGTAATTATAATTTTTTTATTGCTTTCTATAAGTCTTCAGCCAATTGCAGTAAGATTTTTGTTTTTGCTTTATCATTCTCTTGAATTTAATAGCCAAATTTCGAACTATACTATATAACTTGTTATAGAAACCAGATAATTCATTATGGCTTGAATAATAGCCTATTGGTAACCACTATTTTATCTTGTGAAAAAAAATCTTTGACGACAAATCGCCACATCTATGAGAGAGATGAAATTTAAATTTTTATTATTGCATTATTCCAAAATTCTAACACATCAGTGGATAGCTATTAATGTCAAAAGCTGAGCAAAAATAGTTAAAATAATTAGTATTTAATGTATAAAATTATCCATAACTACATGTACAAGAATGTAATTTTTGATAAAAGTTAAAAAAAAAAAAAAAAACGATAAATAAGTGTATATTGTCGAAAATTCCCTTTTCCATAATATAGCTATTTTTACTATGTTATAATGCTTATTACCTAAACAATAATAATACTGAATCAATTTTTTTAGGCATTAAAGTATATTTAATCACATCTCCCTAATAGCTGTTGTGATCTGTGAATACCAATATTGTGAGTAGAGGCTGCTCATCAGTTTTTGTAGATTTTAAAATGTTTATAATGACTATAACTTTTCATATTGTATGCAGATTTTATCAGATTGTGATCATGTAATAGAAGAAATTTTTCCTGTCTTTTTAAAGGTTGAAAAAAATTCTTGTCAATTTTTTTTCTCCTTTAAACTGATTACCATATATATTTGTGTAACACATGAGCTTGCATATCGTGTGACTCCAAAATTTTCACTTATAAAAAATGATTTTATCATGTAACTTGTGTATCATGTGAGTTCCTCTTTTGAGAAACCAATTTAAAATAGACTAACCTCTTTTCTTCTATCTCTTTATCCCATCTCCTAGTTAAAAATAAAGTAAAAGAGAATGATACAAGTATCATTAGTAATGCTATACTCGCGTAGATGCATACAGCCATAAACAACCTAATGAGAAACAGCTAAACATCTTATAAATGTAAACAGTGGAAATGATGCATATTTGATATGTTTGTATTTTATAATATGATACTAATGTGAATATTAAATGCATTATTGGATACAGTTAAGTAAAACATCAGTTTTATCAAAATAAGGTTTATTTTAAATACAGCTGTACTTTTTGACTACAGTAAATGGACTTATAGTTTGGTCAATGTCGTACCCAGGGCCAGCAGTACATACACTAATTTTATATCTCATGTATGATGTGTTCCCCTTAAAATTAGGTTTTCAAAAGTCGCATGATACACCAGTATATATGGTATATATGAAAAGATAATTTTAAACTTTATTTTAAAAGTTTGACTATTGGATTTAGTGACTCTGTAGAACTGTTGTTGTTGGTTTCAGTCTGGTTTGGAATGACTCCAAAAAACATCCCCCTCTCTAAATTTATACACAAAACACACAGATGCATTCTGGGATTTCTTCCTAACCAATAAAATAGGCCACTTCTTGGTCTCATCAGACTTGGTTCTGGTTTTGAAGTTAGAACACTGCAATCGCTTCTCTGTATTCCCTTTTGTGTGTTAAAATTTAGGTTGTGAACTTTTTGCCATATTACTGTTGCTTTGCCTTGCATATATTGTTTGCTTGCTTAATATTATCTTTTGCCCTTTTCTTTCTCTTATTGTTTATTGCAAACTGTCAATTTTGTTGGGCATTTCTGTCAATTACCTTTAACCATGGCCAATTACTCTACAGCTATTAATTTTCGTGGGAAGCTTGATGATTTCTTGGATGCGTACTTTGTTTCCTTTTAGTAAGGTGAGGTATAAAAAAAAAACCTGCAATAGTGTGATATTTGTCTTATTCATAATTATTTTAAATTATTTGAAAGATGAAAAAAAGAATCGGAAAAATGTTCTGTGTTGATAACTTTTGATTCTGGAACAATAAAAATCATGCTGAACTTGTGAAATTGGATGTGTTTTCTTCTGGACTAATTCTATGAATATATAAACTGGAAACTGATGCTGTCCTATTTTGTGATTTCAGGTCAACTTCTGATAAAGATCCTCCTTATACAATCTATGCTGCATTTGAAACTACTTTTGCTAACACAAGTAAGTTCTTGTGGCTTTTCTGTCTGAGAAGAAAATTAAAAAAAAAAAAAAACAACAAAAAATAATACTTTTATTATATATTCTGTAATTACTGGTTTTATTTCAATTTCTTTATTTTCCAGATTACAGGGGTGGTGTATACACGCTAAAGAAAACCAGTGGGACATATGAGACATGGACTTTTCTGTTGGAAAAAGTGGTTTCTTTTGGTATCCAAGGGAATTTCATGTATGCATCTACTTTAACAAAGGATGTAAGTTAGATTTTGATTTTGTTAAAAAAAAGAGAAAAAAAAATCTAATTGAGATAAATGTTTTTTATTTTCAAATTAACATTTTGGATTTGCTGGTTAAATGTGTAACTTCTTAAATTTTTTTTTTTTTTTTTTTTTTTTAAAACAACCCTTTAATAGTGTCTAAAGCATTTTTCATCAAAATGGATCTGTATTTCTCTAATTTCAATAATGACTAATATTTTTCATTATCAAACTTTCTCCATTTATGATCACCTTGTGTATATCTGCGACAAATGATTGTTTCATTAAAAATGACTGACAACGTACTCTTTTACTTGTGTGTGAACAAGAGATTTTTTTATCCTTAGTGCATGCAGAAATTTTCCAAATGATTGTCCTTGTTTGCACACAAGAAAAATAATAAAACTTAAAAAGTACCTTGTCAGTAATTTTTAACAAAACTAGTATTACAAAGGGATTGTTGGCCAAATACACACACATACGTGTATGTGTGTATGTATGTATGTATGTATAATATATATATATATATATATAAAAATGTATATATCCTTGAATTTTTCAGGCTTTACGAAGATTATGTACTTGTGTATCCATCTGGAATTCCATTTTTTTTTTAATATTTAGATTTTGGATTTGTAATGTTTTGTTTTTTAATTTGATAAATGCTTAATATTCATTTAGTTTAATTTGTAAGAAATGTTTATGAAGTTTCTGTAGAATTGTGATAAGTTAAATTTATCGGCTGTTAGTATGTTTTGCTTAAAATAGTGTTATGGATTGTATATGAGACATCAATTGATTTAAATCTGATTGACTGAGTTAATTTAAATTAATACCTTTTATAAATATGCTTACCAACACTGTGTACTTGAGAAGTTTAAATTTGGACATTTCCCAAGAAAAATAGACCAGAAATGGAAAACTCATCACGGGGAACTTATTGATGTACAGTTGCCATAAATACTACAAAAGATTGTGTGTGTGTTTTCTTTTTATAATTTCACCCCTAGCATGCCTGAGAGTGAAGGAAATTGAGAAAATATTACTGAGGGATAAGAATAATAAAATGAAATGGATTCAAGAAGACAGATGGTGATGATTGGATGTTGTAATTACATTTTTGAAAATTGTAACTGATGGAGAAGCAAAAAGATGGAACAGTTCTACGGGCAAGATGTGTGATAAAAGAAACTATTAGAATAGAACTTACAATTGTGTACAACAATTTGAACAGTAAAATTATGGGACCTAGCTGCCACAATTTATGCAATTTGTAAAGTTGAGATATCAAAGAGGAAAGCTCATCAGAACAATTACCATGAATGTATTTATAGAAAAGTCACATGAAAGCTACATTATAACAGTGGGAAAGTGATTGAAACTAAAATGCCAGGTCATAATTGATAACATTGGATTTTGTCTAGAATTGCTAGATGCATAGCAAAAGCACCAGATCAGATGTAGCAACAATATTCACTGCATGAGCAAATAGTAGTCTTATAAAGATGCGAGATAGATTCTGGCACAAATAACTGTCTATGACTCTATATAATTCTTTCACTTCATGTCACTGGCAAATGTTAACCCAAGAAGACACAATGAGTCACTGTCATGAAGGTTAGCCTCAGCCGTGCTGATGAACGAGAAAAAAAAAAAAATTAACAAGCCATTTCTTAACAACAGGTTGTAGGTCATTTTTGAGATCAGTTGCCAATTTGAATTTATCGACCCTATCAGACTTACCATTAAGACAGGAATAAATAGTGGTCATCATCATAGATACCGAGTCAAGAAGTGAGGAAATTGGGAAGAAGACCAGCATGCCAAACTCTGATATCTAAATCCACAGCTCAAGTTTTGTGATTTTTATCTAAAATTTGATAGACTCTTTCAGTAATAATCATTAATACATTGGCAGTTGATCTAGAGAAGCGAAAGCCTTATTGTTTGTCTGAAAAAAAAAAAAAAAACCTGTGAGGTGAGAAGCTTGACCATTTCTGTGTTGATTTGAGCCTCTCGTACTTTGCTAAAAAGAAGTAGAAGATGAATAGGTCACTAGTTTGAAGGATCAGACGGTTCACCAGAGTTCTTAAAAACTGGAACTACAGGAGGATTTTCAACAAACTGTAAAGCAAGAAGCAACTATTACTCAAAATACAAGTAGATCTAGTGATGATGACAAGCATTGAGAATAATTATTTTTCTTTTCCTCTCTGTCTATCCTGAAAGAATTAATTTTATATAGTGTATTTGCAAAAAAAATGTATAAACACTAAATAACTGCTATAGCTAACATTTGGAATTTAACTAAGCAATCTTGTAATAAAGAATAAGAACATGTTTTTATAATGTTTTAAATGCCTAATACGAAGCCATTTAGTAAAAAAATATATAAAAAATATTTAGTTAACTTTCAGTTCCATATAACCGAGAAACAATGTCTACAGTTTTTAACACTTTATGTAAAGATAATTTAAAATTCTGAACAAATCTTTAATCTTGAAACATTTTTAGTTATACAAAATTAATTTTTGCTTTGAAAATTTTATTCCTCATCCTTTTAATGAAAAAAATGAATGTACTTATGTCAAATGTAGTAATTTTTAATGTTGCATATATTTATATTATGATTGTGGTTTTATTCTACTTAAAATGTCTTGCGTTATTGCCAATAGTTTGTGTGTAAATTTAGAGCTTACGTAATTTAGATTGTTTCTAATAAACTATTTAGCATTAGGTAATATAAGAAATCTATTTTGATTTGTCAGTTCAATAAGTCTTGTTTGTTTGTGTGTGTATATATATATATATATATATATATATATATATATATATATATATAATGAGAGAATGAGAATTAATATAAGTAAAAGGTTTGTCACTTAGCTGATTAATGTTACTTTTAGCATCTAGGCTCTAGAGTTTTGTAGACAGAACCTCTGGGAATTACACCATCCACTTGATAGGGGATTATATAAAAATGATCTCTCAGACAAGCTATTATGTATTTTCTTATTTATTTTCCACTTTTAAAAATTTTTTTTATTTTATTTTTTAAAATTTTATTTAGGGAAGTGAAAGGAAGATGCAAATCTCCTCAGATGGTGGCAAAACCTGGAATGAAGCTCAGTTAGAGACCATCACTCATGACAGGGTAACTGGTTTCTTTATTTTAACATATCCCCCAACACACACATACATACACACACACACACACACGTTAAATATGCATTCTGTGATATCCTTTTTTCCATTCATTTCTGACTACTTTGTCTTATGGGATTGTTGATTGTTGTTAGACAATCTTTTGATTTGTGACAGTGTTTTGCTTTTTCCATTCATCTTTAATCAAAACTGCATAAGTGCAAGTTTCATAGCCATTTATAAAACCTCTCTATCAACCAAACTGAGAACAATAGTTTGAAATAATAAAAGTATATTGACAATTGCTCATCTCAGAAATGAAATACAACTCAGTCGTTCACTTCTGAACTGACTGTTCGGTTGAACTCTCTTCCTACAGACGGGAGGAACCTGAAGGGCGGAGTCTCCTTCGGGGAGGTAAAACTGGCCCTGAACCCATTTATATGGGTTCAATGGGCATATTTTTGGCCGAGCCCATGGGCTCGGAGTGCCCACATTAAAAAGGCCTTGTGTCACATGACATTGAATATAAAGGTTCTGAAAGCTGACCACTGAAAACTAATAATTAACGCCAGGAAGAGACAGTTGAGGTTTCTGGGGCAGGGAAGTGGGAGGGGGGGGACTTGAAAAATCTGATACTCACAAGACAGTGACAGAGAAAAACAATGCATAACATACTCAGTGAGTTTCACTAAATGGATAGCGGAACAGAGCTTAGGAGAAATAAGAAAGTTTATTAAGAGCTACAAGGGACAGGAAGTGGATATAGATGTTGGTTATACATGTATTACTGTCATCTAGTGATCATGAGTTCAATCCCTGGTTCAACAAGAACAAACAGTAACTGGCACCACAGGGACAAACAATACAATCAACAGATATATCAGCCAAAAACAATGGACATCTGATGATTGTTACTTGGTTGAAATATTGTGCCTATAGCATCTATATCAACTAACATGCAAACAGTAGTTTGAAATGAATAATAAAGGTATTATGCAAAAATGAAAATAACACTGATATCTCATTTTAACATATATTTACCAAAATTACACAAAAATATCTTGCAATACTAAAGAGTCAATTTATTCAATAAAATTGCCATAGGCATCACAATGAGACCCCCCCCAAAAAAAACCCCAGACAACTTTGGAATCTCTTCTGAATGGTCTCCTTGTTTAAATTGGTGAATGCTGCCATAATATTTGCATTCAGTTCATCGTTGGTGCTACAAGGAGTTTTGTTGATCTCTCACTCAACTGCATCCCATACATAATAATCAAGGGGTTTGCAGTCTGGGGAGTTAGGTGGTCAGATGTAAGGGGATGATGTGGTCACAGAAATTGTCTATGACTGGGTTCTCCTGCTTGTTTGGCATGGTGCAGAGTCCTAGAGTCTTCCAGCAGCCACCCTCTTGACCCAGGGCAGCACTACCACCTCAAGGCACTTGATGTAGGCTTTAGTGTTGAGTCTGAGGTCCTCACCAACAAATTTGGGAGATCTTATCAGAGTGAGTTTTCTGAGCTGCTGTACACTCGTAATCACCATTAGACTCCTCCAACTCTTTCTGAATCCTCTGCACTGCTCTCAGATTGACACCCAAACACTCTCCAATGTCCATATTGGAAATTCCAGTGTGAATGCCAAGCAGTACAGCATGCTGTTTCCAATTTACCAGAGTAAATAGTGTCATGGTGCTCTTTTTGTGTGTGTGTATATAGATAGTTTTAAGGTATGCTATATTTATGGGACAAAGTTCTCAATATCAGAGATAGAGCATATATAAATATAAAAGTGAACATTGAAGTCAACATGCACTGTTTCATGTAATATATATGTATATATACACACACACACACACTAGTTATTTACTTTCTGACTGGCTATTATTTGCCCTCTTTCTTTTCGATAATTTAATTTTTAGCCTATAATGTGGAGCTCGGTGTTTTTGAGTTTAAATGTTCTTTTGAGAATACCTGTCATAGGGTAATGGCTACCAAGTTAATTGTACTGTTATGACTAATCCTTGCCGGGTGCTCTTACAAGTTGTGTCTACCCATTTCTATTATGTATATTTCCTTTTTTATTGAACTAAATTTTAAATCTCCCCCTCCTAACTACACTAAATGTTTTGCTAACACTTGTGCCAAACTTTTATCCCTTGTATAAAATGTCTAAATGTATAAAATGCCTCTCAAATGTTGCCAAGTTTTGGGCTGTATTTATTAAACTAAGTTGTAATAATAAAAACTGGCAACCGCTTCAGTTTGACTAAGTTAACACACCTGGCATGAATTTTAATTTTAGCTGATTAAAGCAAAGCAATGTGAGATAGTGCAAGGTAACATGCCATCTTTTAAACTAAGGTGGAAGGTTTTATGGGAGATGGCAAAAGTAAAATAAATTTAAAATTTAAAGAAAACTCTTACTTTTAAGTAAGTTGTATTTTAAAAGAATGTAATACTTTAAACGTTTTAAAATAAATAAAACATTTTGCCAAAATTAAACAAAGCAAGATCAAATCAAAATGGCTTCCATTTCAGTAGCTGCTGCTTGAAATTTTACTGTTTCATCTAACATTTCTATATAACCTTGTCTCTAAGGTTTTTACTAATTACTTTAAGTAATATCACAGCTAAAAATAGTTGATTTAAGATTCACTCTCTAAAGAGAACTACAATTTGAAGTTAAATGAGATGGCTTATGGCAGATTTTGTAACAAGAATTTTAGTCCAGCTTTGTTAATTAGTTTTGAATCATTACCAGTTTATAAAATGCCCCCTCTCTTTCTATATTCTTGTAAATTGTGTATTCTTGATTATTGGCTTTTCTCAGAGGAATATCAGATTTTTAAAATGAAAGTATTATAAATTTACTCCAAATAGGAGTTGGGATTATAAAATTATGAGCATTTCTTGCTACTGTATTAATGTAGTTCTAAAAAATGGTATCTTTTCAGTTTTTCTCTATTTTGGATATGTCAGAAGGCTTAGTTTTCATGCATGTTGATGACCCTGGTGGTAAGTCCTCATATTTTCTTTGTGCTTTTAAAACTAAAAATTTTTATTTTTTTTTTTTTATTGGTACTAAATGCAACTTAGCTAATTTTAAAACGGTTCAATAAAAACTGGACAGTTAAAAAAATTGTCTAAGAAAATCTTAGCGAATTTAAAATGCATTCTTTTGGTTGTACAATTTATATAGACAAACTCCTATTTTCTAATTTTGCCTAGCAGATTGTTAGTATTTTTTTAAAAAAATATCTTCAAGCAATTATACATCAGGGGAGTGATGTTAACCAACTGAGTCACATTCACTTTAGTTTTATCAGTGCTGATCTTTAAAGATTATTAGGCATTAAAGTTGATAACATTTTACTAAACTTTCCACTTATATAAAAATGACATTTTATATTTTTGCATTCAAATTGTACTTGATTTTGATGGTTAACTGCAGACAAGAGTAATGCACAAGCAAGAAATGTTTAATAAAGTTGTAAATTACAATTCAATGAAATAAAGTACACAATTTTTTGTGATTTCTAATTATGAACTTTCAAAGAAATTTTTAAGTCAGTGAACGGATTTTTTTTTTCTTTTTCAAACACTTATTTTGAAACAAAAATACTTAAGCATTTGAAATTTCAATTTTTAAAATTTTGTGGGACACTTTACTGTGCTGAAAAAAATGTATCAATTTTCAAACTGTTCATATAAGCTGGTGAATTTAGTTTATTATTTACATTCAGACTATTGTCCTCATCTTTGTTATTATTTGACAATTGTGCCTCTCTTCCCCAGTGTTCTTAAGATGCTTATTGATCTGGAAAAGCACCAGAAGAAGGCTGGGTGGCACAACAGATGAAGCATCAAAGATGAGGACAATAGTCTGAATGTAAATGCTAACTACTCATCCCAGAAATTGATCTCTTAGTTTTACTAATTAGTTTTTGTAAAAACTTTTAAAAAAATTATTTTCTGAACATAGTTTTTAAGAGTAATATTTATAAGTTTTGAAATTGACATCTAATGATATGCATTTTCTTTTGTCTAAGTCCTAAAAGCTTACTGAATATACAGAAAATTGGGGTTTTAATTTGGGCAAAAACCTGAAACCTTTTCACACACCTAATACACACCTGTGTAAATGATTAAATTTTAGTTGTTAACATCAATGGGTTACATAATCTTTGAAATCTTAACAGAAGTGAATATTTTAAATTTCAATGGTATTGAGTGGAAAATATTTTAAAGATTCTAAGGTTATTGCAATTATTTGTACTTGAATTTAGAAATGTTTTTAATCTCATCAGTTCTCATGACAGCAGAAATCTTCATATTTTTCAGACACTGGTCATGGTACTCTGTATACTTCTGGTCAGGATGGCATCATTTATTCAGAATCTCTTAAAAGACATCTCTATCCTAGTTATGTAGATTTCACAGACTTCTATAAAGTGGAGTCCATTCGTGGTGTTTACCTGGCTAGCAAGATTCAGCAAGATCAAAGCATTTCAACAGTGATTACATTTGACAGGGGTGGAATCTGGCAAGAGATCCAACCTCCAGTTGATGTTCCTTGCAAAGAACCTTCCAAGGTAAAATTTACTTGCAATGTCAATTTAAAATTTTACAATTTTGATATAGTAAACCTGTATGAATGAAAGACTAATTTTGAAACATTTTGCTCATAGAATTGTTTTAATCTTGTAAAAACTTCTTATAGGCATAACTATATACAGTGAGCTAAAAAACACTCCCTCAACTACTGAAAAAAAAATTTTCTTCATAATATTTTTGTCTCTCACATTGGGTGTATAAATATATTTTCATATTTTTATTTTAACAGCATTATTTTTCAAGGAATGTTGTGCTAAAGTTTAATTTCATCTAAGGATGTTATTTTCATCATTGAGTGTTTTGCTTGCAGATGTTATTTAGGATCTGTGATTGAAACCTAGACAATAAATAAAATTTTAACCCAAAAGGACAGAAGTAAAGTTCATCCTAAGGCTGCTTGAAAATAGATATTTGATTTATTAATCTATTTCCTAAGTATGAGGAATTTTGGCTCATTCTCAAAGTGTAACTTTTTAATTTCCTCATCATTGTCACTAATGTACTTAAACATTGATGTTTTTGAAATAAGACCCTTCAGGTAATTTAAACTGCATGAAATTGGCATAATTGTTTTCTATTATAAGGTACATAGGAATTAAATCACTTTTCTTTTTTTTTATCACTGTAGATTCAAAACAAGCATTTATTGTTGACTGTATTGTTTCTTAGCTTCTCTTGAAATCTTTTTCTTTTCATATTTGAATAAATTCTTCTTTTTTTTTTTTGTTATTAAGTTGACAGTAGAAAGCAAAACAGAAATGGCATGATTTTGACAATTAGATCCAAACAGGGATATAGTCTATTTAACCTTTTATAAATTTGCATAAGGTTAAATTTTGTATGTGTGCTTCCACCTTACATCAGAATAAAACAGCCTGCATTGTTAACACATAATTAATCCTTTCTAGATTTTTATATATATATTATTATTAAATGGCATTTACAACATTAGTAGTAATATTTGCATGACAATTTTTAGAAACATATTTTAATATTTCTATGTTATTTTTAATGTAAATTTTAACAGCTGCCATATATAAGCAATATTTCTGATGATTTTTATTTTTAAATTCATATTTGTAAAGAAAGAATTTACATCTTCCTTGCCAAAATTCAGTTGTAAGTTAGAAAACCTACAGTGTTCATAATAAGCATTGTTGTTGTCTGCTATTTCACATTACGTAAAATTAGTTGAATGGAACTGAAAAAAAATTATGCAATTATCTAAATAAGTCGAAATAATCAGTTTAATTAGGTTTTTCTTTAACACTGCACAGAAATTATTTCAACATGTGAGAAAGTAGTAGTTTGCTGAATTAATTTTTATTAATATAAATATTAGAAAATCATTCAAATCTTTTTCAAAGGTCATCTCTATGTATCTATGTCCAGAGTAGGACATTCAAGTGGACTTAATATAAAGACAAAAAGAACTAGAAAATAGGTGTCTTGCTGGAAATGTTTATACAGAAATTTTAGAGAGGTAAAAAAAAATTCTATGACAATTTTTCTCTGTTCAAAGGACAAGTATTTGGGTAGTAGATGAAATATTGATACTTTTAGCATCATAACTTCATTTGATACTTTGTCTTCATAGCATAGGACAAATCTCATGCATATTTGAACAACTTGTTCTAAAAATTAGTGAGCCTGTCACTTAAAACAATAAGCTTTATAAAGGGTTTCCAAAAATTGGAATTATAGATGTTTTTATTTTCCATTTTTTTTTTTTTTTTTTTTTTTTTCCCAGGGTTGCTTCTTACAGGTCCACAATGTCTACAGTCGAAGAAGAGGCATTTATGTTGATGTCCCATTGAGTGTCCCAAGTGCTGTGGGTCTTATTTTAGTTCATGGTAAGCCTTTTCTCCTAAACTTGTTTGTTAATGTCATTCTTATTAAATAAAATGTTCATGAACTGTTTCTCATTTGTCTTCATTTATAGAAGTTAAAATTTTTTTTTATATACAATTGACATTTCTAGAGTCAATTTGTTAAAAAAAAAAATGTGATGCTTGTTAGCACCTGATCCATTTTAGTTATCAATGCTAGAAAATTTTTACTATTGTGTGTTTATAATATTGACTTGGTCTTTTCTACATAGTAGGATAGCATGATGGTTATCTACAGGGAAAATGAAATCTGCAAATTAAGTTCACATTTTGGTTGAAGCGGTTTTTGTTCACATTGTATTAATGACCTTAAGACATGAATCCATTTCTCCTCCCAATAGAACAGGTTGGGGATTATTCCCTGTTGCTTAGCTCCCAGCTATGGCCAAATGGCAAGGCAGGTGAAACCCTTTAGGCAGTTTAGCTAAGAGAAAGCAGCTCTGACAAAATCCTACAGCTTGGCATTCAGCTCACTAAGCTACTGAGGTAAAGCATCAAGCCTAAAGAGTGTATTTGGTGGACATGAGCTGATCTCTTAAATCCTTCCCTGTTTTTTGAACAGGAGTAGAGGTTTATCCCTTGTTTCCTGTTTAGATTGAGCTTCTGGTTTCTTCTAAAGTATTCTCATTTTTTTTTTTTTTTTTTTTTTTCAGTCTCAGTAACCTCTTGCATCTTAGTGGCATTATCACCTTGCTTGGGGTGAAATGTTTAAAAAAAAACTAATGCAGGTGGAGGTGAGGCTTGCAGTACAAACAAGGAACAATCCAACCAAGAAAGAGTAAAATTATATATATATATATATATATATATATATATATATATATATATATATATATATAGTAGGGCATTTGGAGACTTTCAGTCTTGTCAGTATTCTTTGATAAACAATTTACAGTTTAGAACAGCACTTCTTAATCAGTGAGCTTAATGTGACCTGAAAGGTATCCAGGTGTGCTCCAAGTTAACAAGATTAATTTATGAATAATTTTTATATTTAAAAAAATCTTTTAAAAGGCTAGAAACATCAAATATGTGGTTTCAGTTTTTGTCATTTGATATTTTAAATTGGATGCTAAATCTCTATTAATCACCAGAGATCCTTCCCTGCCCTCCATTAGAATGTCTGACGCTCAACTTGAGAGCAACTCTCTGCGGCTGCTCGGTTTCACGTTGACGACTGACCTGAGATGGAACAAATACATTGAGTCAATTGCTTCGTCCACAGCAAGGAAAGTTGGCTCCCTGTGCTGCGCCAGGAAATTTTTCTCCCCGGAATCGATCCTCCAGATCTACAAATCAACAATTCACCCTTGCATGGAGTATTGCTGCCATATATGTTCTGGAGCCCATTCTGTTTGCCTCGGGGTTCTTGATAGGCTCTAGAGGCGGATATGCAATATAATTGGCCCTGATCTGGCATCTCATCTATAGTCACTTTCTCACAGACGCGCTGTCGTCTCTCTCTGTCTTTTTTTATAAATACTTTCATGGCAATTGCTCCAAGGAGCTGCATTCGCTGGTTCCCAGACTTCATGAGTTCAAGCGCCCTACGAGGCTGGCATCCCGCTCTCACCCCTTCACTGTCGAAACTCCTAAATGTAGCCGTCTCTTCTACTCCAATAGCTTCATGTCTTGCACCTCTCGCCTGTGGAACTCCCTTCCCTATTCCAGTTTCCCTGAGAGCTATAATCTCCAGCTATTCAAATGTAATGTCAATCAACATCACCAGTTGCTTTGATCTATCCACCACCCTTCTCCTCATCCTTTCTTCTATCACTCCTATCTGATCTTGCTCCAAATTTTCTGTAACCCCTTGCGTCCTAGTGGCTTCCTGCCTTGCTTGGGGTGAAACGCTTAAAAAAAAAAAAAAAATTCCTTAATCTGTAAGGAGTTGATAATCCTTTCCCTTTTGCCTTTCTCAAGGGATTTAAATCAGTCATTATCAGACTCTTAAAAAAAAAAAAAATTGAAGATTATTCATAAATCCCTTTAAATGAAACTCTACCGCTGACTTTTGGAAATGCTGAACCAAAATTTAATCTTTTCAAATTTCATGACTAATTTTTTCCTTATTAAAATCTGAAGTGAGCCCTAGTGTTTTAGTTTTTCTAAAAGTGCGCTCTCAAGTTTAAAAAATGTTGAGAAACGCTAGTTTAGAAGTTGGCTTGGTCATCTCATCTCACTGATCTACCAAGAAAATATATGAAGGGTACCTTTTGTGCATAGGCTGATCTCTCTTAAAAGCAGGAAGCGGGTCCTGACAAAGAGACACATCTTTTTTTTCTCTTGCAAGCACTTACATAAGTGCTCAGCACAAATGGAAGCACGTATCTTAATGCTCAATTTTTTGATGTTCCTGCTTTTTTAACATTTTCAGAATTTCTCTTTATTTAATCTGTAAAATTTGAAGTAAATTCTTACTAAAGAGATTTTGTTACTTTGTATTTTGCCTAAAAGGAATTTTATGATTTTTAGAATTGCAAAATCACAGGATTTTTTTAATTTTTTCCAGGTCATGTGGCTAATGCATTGCAAATTACTCCTCCTGATGTTTTTGTCACTAGTGATGGCGGTTACACATGGCGGAAGGTATTTTTCTTTTTTTTTTTTCATTTCACATGACTCTTTAATTGAACCTAAGTGTTTTCAAAGTTTTACTCAAACTCTTTACAAATTGTGATTTGAAGGTGGTAATGAAATGGAGACTGAGTTTTGACATATAGTTTATGAAAGTTAAAATTCATCTTTCAAATTACAAGCTGGGGGGAAACAGTAATAGAAATGCATAATTCAGAAGTTATGAATAAAAACATTGAATTCCTTTAAAAGAATGATTTTATTTTCTCTTTGTAAATGAAGTTTTTAAAAATAATTTTCTCTCTCTAGTCTTAATCTAGCAATCTTATGAAATTAGGCTTTGTGTGAGGTTTTGTTCTCATTTTGGAAGAGGTTACTTATTTATGCAGATTTGACATTGATTTCAAATGTCTTGAAAGCTAAAAGCAAGTAACAGCAAATCTAAGTAAAAGCTTTTAAGTTACTTTGTTGAAGTTTTCTCTGAGTGCCAAATAATTAAGCAAACTTGCAACAATTGTTTTATTTTACTGCTTTAAGATGTAAATGATTTTTTTTTTTTTTTTTTTTTAACTAATGGGTTTAGTAAGTACAAATTTTTAATAGATTAGTAATCTTTCATTACAGACTCTGCTACGATTTTTTTGTGAGGGACTGTAATGATCAATTGACAGTGATTTTAAAAATAAGATGTTTTTATATTTTATGGTTTGGCTTTTATTAACACTAGGATGGCTGAGGTGTCGTTTTCAACACCTTCAAATTTTCAACAAATTACTATGGAATAATTAGTTCTGGTTCGATGCTGAGGCTTATGGACAATTATTGAATTTTAGCAAAGATGCTTAACAGACTTAATTCTTTAAAAAATATTCAGTGGAATAGCTGATATTTGAGGTTTTACCTTGAATGGCCAACATGTTGTTTTTTGACACCTAGGCTATTTATAAGGTAAATGCATTGAAAAATTTCTCACAAGCAATAATACTTGTGTTTATGTCATATATATATATATATATATATATATATATATATATATATATATATATATATATATATATATATATATATATATATATATCTATGTTTATGTCATCTATATCTATCTATATATCTATATATATATATATCTATATATATAATCACTTTCTTTCAGTATGAGGTATACTAATATTTGTGAATTTCTTTTCAGACTTGTTATTACTGACTTGAATATTGAATATATTAGAGATGGCTGCTTCACGGCGTAATGTAAATAAAGATGTCAAAGGAGCTGGCCATCCTAGTGTTAAAGTGCCGATACTGTAGCATTTTTTTTTTTCTTTTTTTTTGCATGACCAGTTTCATTGTATCTTATTGATGTCAAATCAGTTCTGGCTGTATGAAACAATTTACAAGGAAGTTTATTTCCTGAATTTTAATTAATTTATTTTTTTGGCATTTATTTAAAAAAATTTTTTTTTTTTTTTTTAACCCAGGCCCTATCAGGTCCTCACCATTACCAGATTGCTGATAGTGGCGGTCTACTGGCGGCCATACCTGCTGTGAAGAATCCAAAAATCATCAAATTTTCCACTGATGAAGGACGCTGCTGGCATGAATATAAATTCACCGATGATAATATTACCTATACAGGACTTCTCACTGAACCTGGCTCCCACTCAATGAGTGTTAGCATTTGGGGCTACCGTGATGAAGACCGCAGCTGGAAAGTGTATGTCATCGATTTTAGAAATGTGATAACAGAACAGTGTAAGTAGTCGGAACTTAATGTAAGATTGTATTGAAATAACTATTTTTGTAATTCTATTTTTTTTGTGACTTTGATACAAAAGCAAATTATTGCAATTTTTTTTTTCTTCTCTTTGCAAAGAATCCATTAATTTGTTACAGAGAATCAAGATTTCATGAATTTTAATGAGTCTTTTCAGAAAATAATAGGAAAGTATACTTAGAATTTTCATTTTGAGAATTTGTCTTTTTTATAGTTGTAAGTTTGTATTTGTCATTGAAAACAAATAATGGATTTTGTTTTAAGATATAACCAATGTCTTTATTTACATTGAATCGGACTAATATCTTCTTTGTTATTATCAAAATGTTTTGGCCATTTTATCTTCAGATATCTTTTGATCTATTTTGAACTGACCTTTATTATCCAATCTACAAGGGTAGATTGTTCTCATTCTGCTCTACATGTCTTGGGATATCTTGTGTGTGTTTTATTATTATTATTACTGCTCTGTTATTGCTCATTCTTTTTACACAGTCTGAATCTGTACTACCTAGCTTAGGGATTGAACTCGCAATTATTATATCACCAAATTCCTGAACCAATGCTTTAATCCTTTAGGTTGCTGTCAATAATGTCAATAACTTCTCATCTCCAAAATTAAATTCAGACAGAAGTAACTGATGTTGGTATTCAGCCTTTTTTGTTGTAAAATTTCATGGTAGTTCTTTCCCTAATTTGATTTGATATTTTTTAAAGTAACATTATTTTGAGTGACTGTTTACTATTAGGATCAAAAATGCTTGTTTGAAACTTCATACCTTATTGGTTTCTTTTGATAGTTTTACTTAATTTTTAGAACATAATCTCTATAAACAATAGTAGCAAATAGAATTATCAATTTATTGAAACTTGGTCTAAAACTTTTAAAAATACCAGCTGTGTTGAGAAATGTCACAGCTTGACAAAATTTAGATCCTCCTCCTCCTCCTCTTTACTTTATTAAATGTCAAGCCTGTTTAATTTTATAGTAAATGATTTAACAGTGAATCATGAACAGGATTATATATATATATGTTTTTTTTTTTTTTTTTTTTTTTTTTGTGGATACTTGTATTCAAGTAGATGCTGTGTTTGTTTATTAAATGGTATATTTATTTTCATCTACTGACCTGAATATTCGAGAAATCTTGTTAGAGATTATAAAAAAAACTAAAATAAAACTAACGTTTAAATAAAAATTTGTTGGATAAGAAAAAAAAAATACATCCCTTTACATACAGATATACATTTACACACATAACTGCTAAGCTAAAAGTGTACCCCAAAGATGATTAGAAGGGCTATGTATGCTAAAGTTTTGTGCCACCTCATGGAGTTCTATCATAGAGATTGATATGCCACTAAAAAAAAAAACACCGGCCAAATGAAATCCTCATGGAGTTCAACAAATCCAAGATGCAAGAAAGTGTGCAGGTACACAAGACTCATAAGTCCATTGATAAAATATTTTCTGACAAGAATTTTCTTCAATAAATGTTGTTTTGAACCACTGAAATAACTGGTATCTCACAATCAACAGTTATGCCAAGGGCCAAATATCCAACCCAAGTCATTGTCTTGGGTGAAATTGCTTTTGATTGATTGATTTTGTTTTTTATGGCTTATCAACCTTTTACAGATTATTTAAAGCCAGAAAATATTTTTAGGTTGTAAGAATTTTTTTGTAGATAATGAATTGCTAATACAAGTCTTACTAATTAACCTTTAGCTGGGGAGGGAAGAGATGGATTAATACCTTTTTCCAAGTGTATTTGTACATAAGTGAAATATACTGAAACTAACTGGATTCACAATTTCAAGCTTTTATCCATTACACCACTTGCACATCCAAGCTTACAGCACCTGTTATTTCCAAGTAACCACCCATCTAGGTACTGACCAGACTAAACATTGCTTAACTTTGGTGATCATATACAGAAGTATTGTTTCAATGTGATATATTTCCTGATGACCATCTCTCTAGTAAAAAGATGGGAACATTCTTCTAAAAGCTTGAAGAAAATGTGGGTTTTCATGCCTATTGTAAGGTCTTGAGGTTTTTCTCAAGGCTAACTATGTAGAGGGTAACTGTGTGAACCTAAGATGGTGCTCTTGGTTATATAGCCAAAAACGTGCAGATGTTCTGCAAAGCTAACTTTGATTTCTGGCCATCTAGTTTCTCTCCTCTAGTATAACCTGAACTTATGTTCTATGAAGCATTTTGGAGGTTACCAACAAGACCTTCCATTCCAACATCAGTACCTTCAAGACTGAAACAAAGTGGAGTGAGGACCAAGATATCCAAAGACTTTGAGTTGTGCTGATTTTTAAGGTTGTTGAGGTTGTAATTGAAAGTAATGGAATCCACATTGAATAAATTGTTTTAATATTATCTATTAGTTTTATTAATGTCCTTTTCACATTAATACTTTTTATCCCTTGGGAATATCAATTATTTAATTTAGTAACTTTTATGGAGTAAGTTTAAAGTTCAGTTTACTTCACTTAAAAACAGAATGGTATTAAAGTAATTTCAACCCATTTATCTACCTACTGCCACACCAAAGACTTTAAAAAGATTACTTGTAGACTCTTTGGAGAATCTGATTGTGAATTTAGTTTCTTTGTTTTAGGTGACCAAAGTCAGTACAAGCCATGGTTGGCACACAGTGCTCGCTGGAAGAATACTGAAGATACCAAAGGCTGTCTATTGGGGACCAAAACAATTTTTTATCGTTTGGCAATAGATTCCTGGTAATAATTATTTTTTTCTTAAGTATTTATCTTTATTTTGTAAACAGAAATTGATACTACTCTCCATAATTTGCATTGACCATATTAGTGAAATGAAATTGAAAGTGGCTTAAAATTTTTTAATTTGATGTAGCAGTCTATTATCATTTTTTAATGAAATTTAATAGTTTTGTAGTAAAAATACCAAGTCAATCTTTCAGTGTTACATCAATGTTACTTCAGCACCTTGACTTTTGGTCAAAAAGAAAATATTCAATGAAACTTTGCTTACTATGCTGCAGTAATTACTACTTAAAAAAAAAAGAACTGAGTGATTAGTTTGAGTCAGACTTGCATCCATAGTAGATGTACTGAGTATGTGGACTGTTTAAAATAATGAGTCTGTCCTCAACTAATTACCTTTTTAAAAACAGTTTAATTACTTCCATTTAAAGAATAGTCATGACTGATTGCATTTCCAGCAATTACTGTCTTTAGAAAAGGTTCTTTGTCCCTTGAATTGTCATAAAGCCAGAAAAGAGGAAAGTTTCAATGGAAAAAGGTTTTCTAAGAACAAAGGATAATGTAGTTAAAACTAGTTTTAAACTTAAAAATGGACATTTAATATTTTTTTTTCCAAACAAAGGATTTCAACAATAAGTTGGAAGATTGGTTTCATGTTTTTCTCAAAATGATTAGCATGAAGATATGAAACAGTTGATAATTAACTCTGCTTGGTGATTCCATTTTCAATTGAGTTAACCTTAATTTTAAAAAGTTTACTTCAGTCAGTTTCATTGCATTATTGGCATTTTTTTCCCTTTATTTTTTATTTATTTTTTATTTTTTCATAGTAAATGTCACTAATGTTGCTATATATACTTTTCTCTTTTTAGGTGTTATAATGGTTATAATCACAAGAACAAAGAAATTAGCACCACCTGCAAATGTACAAGAGCTGATTATGAATGGTGTGTATTCATTTATTGGAATTTTGAAAATGTAGCCACTATGTTCTTGAGCGCACACATGAACACACACTGTTATTTTGTTAAACACTGAGCTTTATTTCAGTGCATGTTAATGGCCAATAATTTGGTATTTGGTTAAGTTGTTAGATGGACAATCTGACTATAGTCTTATCTTAGCTTTTGGTTTTCATATTCTATTTATGAACATTGAAGCAATCAGCTTTAATAGTTCCAATTTGTAACATGACTGATAAAGTTTATATTAGTATTTTATCCAAGCTTCACTTGCTCAGCTTGAGTAAAATAAGATATTTTCATGCATAGTTTTAATGCCTGCTATCTAGAAATACATTGGGATGATGTGCCTAGCCATGTCATCAGTGTTGTAATCCTAAAATTCTTGTGGGTTTCAAGTCTCTCAATATCATATCCCTTCACATAGTCAACCCAGCTGGTATCTATCAAATACCACATCATAAACTACGATATAAATTTTTACAATATGGCTGACTTTGAGGCTTTCTTATATAGACAACCAGTAAATCCTCCAATCAAATGCTTTTCTGGTCTCTTCTCCCTTTATAAGAAGAATCTAATTTGCTGGTTTTCTCAATCCTATAGAGGAAATTATGATGCTCACTTAGCATTTTGGTGACCATATTATTGTTATTCATGCCTAAACTTAACTAAATTGAACAAAACTTTGCAAGTGTATATAATATTACTCTATGGACACCATAGAGTACAAAATCCTCCCCTATTTTTGTAAATCTGTAACAAGTGTCTACATTGATATTAGACATTATAAATCAAATGCCTGCTTGAGAGCTAATTTACTTTTGTTTTTTCTTTTTTTTTTGTTTTAAATTAAACATTTGAAGAAACCAAGTTCAGATTAAGTTAAAGCAAATCAAACTATGAAGGAAAATAAATTTACAAAAAAATGCTTCTGATTTCTGGTTTGTGTAACCTCCATCATATCTTATTTAAATTGTAAATAAAATAATTACTGTTGATACTGACATTTTAAAACTAATTTTTTTGTAAAAGAAGACTGGACATGTTGATGAAACACTTACCTGCTTACATCTATGTCTGATGTTCATATCCTTGTAGTATTTCCTATACAAGTAAAGATTTTTTTTTTATTTATTTTTTTTTCTTAATGTATTTAAAAAAATGACCTGATTCTAGATTCTGTATTTTTCATCTGATCTTTAAAAATGAATGAGTGATAAAACATTTCATATGCTGTTTTCTCATTGAAATTTTATTGAGCAAGATTTTTTTTTTTCTTGATAGCTGGATACATTACTTGAAAATAAATTTTGACCTGAAATAAAAAAAATTATTCAGACAGGGATATTATGTAAACTGATTGATGTTTGGCATATATAGTTGATTTTGTCATTTTAAATTCTTTATATTGTCAGAAGAATTTGCATTAAAACACCAATTACATATTATACTTATTATCAGTACTCATAGAAGAAATATCTTAAATTTATACTTGTCGTTACATCTTTTGCAGTGATTATGGTTATGAAATTGATTCAGTGACTAATAGATGTCAAAAAAGTTCCAAAAAAAGCAAAGAAATTGATATTTGCATCAGGGGACATGAAGAAAAAATAATCAGTGAAGGGTGAGTTTTTGATTTTCATTGTGCATCGAGTACAAATCATTGACACTTTCTCATATATTTACTGCGTCCCTTCAGAACATTTCTCTTGCCTTTTTATTATTGTTCTCAGCAATTCTTTCTCTTTCTAGTACATATTCCTTCATCAATTTGCAGAAATTGTCAATTGGCATACTTGTTCTTTCTCCCATCTCTGCTTTTCATGTTTTCAATGTTAAATTCACAGAGCTTTCTTTCCTGTGTTCCAAATGTTTTAGCTGTCATAAGAGATAAAGAGGCAGCAACCTAATATAAAGTTTTTTCTGTAAGAATTTCTTGGATGAAGGGTTATCATTATTTACACTATTTACATTTCGACTATTGTCCTCGTCAATGTTGTTATCACAATGTTTCAGTCATTGTGCCCTCCAGCCTTCATCAGGTGGAAAGAAATCTGGATAGCCTACAGGGAATTCTGAGGGGAACCCTTTAATTAATTTATGTGTATAGACTTTTCTTATTCCACTGCTCATAGCTAGGGATATCTTGTCTAGTTCCTGTTTATAGTACTGCTCAGTTATTGCTTGGCCTTGTTTGGGTATCATATACTTGAATTCAATGGAAGCAGTAGGAATTGTAATGAGAACAGTATGCCCCCTGTAGATAAACATTTTAGTTCAGAATTCTGTCGTTTACCTGGATTGATATGTTGGGGTGGGGGCACAATGACTGAAAATGTTGTGATAACAACAAAGATGAGGACAATAGTTCAAAAGGGAATAGTGTAAGTAACTTATGAAATAGATTTTAAAAAAAAATAGTGTTCAATGATAAGTTTGTGTAAATTGAAGATGACATGAAAAAAGTTTTGAATAGAAATCGTTAAATTAGGTACCTCCACGAAATCGCTAAAAAAAGAGCATAGCTTGATGAAAAAGACGCCAACCTTGCCGAAAACTAAATTTTATTGTCTAAATGCTTATGTTATTATTAAGAGGAAAGACCAAGGTTTTTTTTTAATTATTTTTAAAAAATTTTCCTTCTTTTTAGAACATTCTAAATTTTGATTAAAAAACCTTGTTTCTATTTGTATCAGCGGAACTAGTAAATAACATAGACAATTTTTAGCACGTTTTTTTTTGGTATGACACACATTAATTTGAAAAATCGTGCAAAAATAGAAATAATTATCGGATGTTAATGAAACTTTCAGAAACTATTCACAGATGATCGAAATTATTATAAATATGTTTTTTTATGAAAGTCATGGTAGAAATATTTTAAAAATATTTATTACCCCCCCATAACTAATTTTATGAAAACGCTAGAAATTTGATCGCATCGGTTTTAGTGATTACAATAATTAAAAGCACAGGGCTTTGAGGAATGCAAATCATGTTTTTTTTTTTTTTTGTTTTTAATTGGATATACAGTACCTGAAAATCAGCTCTGAATTGTAATATACAAAACTCAATAAAACAAAGATATTATTTAATTTCAAATGCTTTTATTTGCTTTTATGAATATGGACAATATTTTCTGAAAGCAAAAAAATTTTTTCGATGAAAAATGAATTTTTAATACGATTATTTGTTATTTCATTAATTATAATAGATTTTACATTTAAGTTGTTAAAATATTATATAATTAGTTAAAAGCTGCATCGGCTTTCATAAGTGTCCTTATGAGATAGATCTTTTTTTAGAGCGTTGTAAATTGTATCATTTGACTAATCAGAAGATCCCCAGTAATTAAGAAATGTAATTTTGTGCTTATAATCGAGCTGTAGTTATAAAATACGGAAGACCAACCAGAATATAATTAAGTTGCGTTATTTGAGTTAAGCATTGTTCTCCGCTGTTAAGGCCTTTACTTTTTTAAGTAAACACGTGTGGAGAAGTTAATTTGATTTTTCAATTTCAACTGAGAAGGGTACCTACAAGTATCAGTATCATCTTATGAAATTTATATGATCTTATTTTTATATTAATCTCAGTTACGACATTTTTCCATAAATGAAATATCAAAATTAATAATAAAATGAATGCAAATACAAATAACAGTAGAATGTAATAAATGTACATAAAATTATAGTATTTTATGTACAATTCTGATATTTCATAAGAAAGGTACCTATAAATTAATTAGATACCTTTCTTAAGAAATATGAAATTTAATGTCATTCTTAACAGTTTTATTTTAATTTCTTTACAATATATTTCCCATAAAGCATCATAAACGTAAAGGTGAAAGCTAAGTACAAAAAAAAAAAAATTAGATCGCTGAAAGTGTTCGTTAAAAATAACGGTGTAAATAATTTGTTCACGTAAATGTAAATTATTTCACTTTTCTCCTTCCGTAGAACAAATTAGCCTCATGGAATTCGTAAATATATCATTCATCACATGTCAAGAGATACGAAAGTTTATGACCTGCTTTGTTTTATTTTCAAATTACATCTTTTTGGCACAAAAGCTAAGTTAAGTTTAGTTCAAAATATTTTAAATAAACATTATAATTTCTGATTTTCTTAAAATAAGTTTTGAAAAAATGATAATTGATATTTAAAAAATTTCAAAGTCAGATTTCTAGTTTTTTTAAAATGGAAAAAATGGTCAATTTTGCTGACTCAAAAAAAAACTAGATTTTTAACGAAAATTTCGGACGTGCTAGGAACGATTAAAAAATGAAAAAAAATACCCCCAAAATACTTTGACCTTTCCTCTTAATAATAACAAACATTTAGACGATAAAATTTTGTTTTCGTCAAGTTTGGCGTCTTTTTCATCATGCTATGCTCTTTTTTTAGCGATCTCGTGGAGGTACCTACGTTAAATGTTAAGGAGAAGAATAAAATTGATATTTACTATTTGCATGATTGCATCTAAACTTTCTTGTTGCTTTTGTTGGTGGCTTTAAAAAAAACCTTTGTAATTAACTGCTCATTGTAGCAGAAGATTGTAGAAAATAACCTCTTTTCACTGCTTTATTTTATTTTTTCTCCCTCAGATATCGGAAAATTCCTGGTGATAACTGTTCAAATGATGATCCCACTTCATTTCATGCCGATACTAAGAGAATAAACTTGGGTAAAATATGTCATTCACGAATTGTTGTGGTAAGTATGATGTTTTATTGGAATCTACACCTATACACTCATTGGGCAGCATTTAAACTAGGTCCTGCAGAGGGTTCTTGATTGGGTCTTCATCCCAATATGTAGGTAGAAGTAGATGTAATAGGCAACAATCTACAGAAGAACTCAAAATTGATTGCTGCATTTAAGTATTGCATTAATATTTAAGCTTAACTTTTAAAAGTTCAATGATAATTCTTCTGCTACCACTTAATTTAAAGACAATTTGATCTACATTTGACTTATGCTGGATTTTGCAATTACAATTATTCCCAAATTTATTTCCAAGTTATAAAAATTATCATGCAAAAAACAATTGCGGTAATGAAAAGTTGGAATCCAAAATTTCAGGATTGTGGGTCCAGATGCAGCCAGAATGTTTTTAATTTGCTTATGGAGTCTGCCTGATATGTATGCTCATTGATATATGATGGTATGATATGTTGGGTTATGGCCTCTAAGAGTATAGTTGAAAACACAGACAATTTTATTTTGAAACACTAATTTGAGAACAGTAATTTTTTTCATTTGAACATGATGTATTGAAAGTTAGAGAATTGTGTCCCTTTTTAATTGTTTTTATCAGTAGAAGCCAAGATGGTGGAATCCAAAAACAATCACAGTAATGAAAACTTGGGAATCCAAAATTTCAGGATTGTGGGACCAGATCTGACCCGGAATGTTTTTAATTTGCTCATGGAGTCGGCCTGATTCCAAAATGGTATATGTTGGGCTACAGCCTCTAGGAGTAAAGTTGAAAAAGTGTGAAACACTGACATTTGCATTAATTATATAGATATATATAATTGGTGGATTGATATTTGAAAGGTGGGTAATTTACAAAGGTGTGTTAGTGAGTTCAGCACCCCGATTTAAAAAAAAAAAAAAAAAAAAAAAATCAGCAGAGTGTGCCAAAACCTATTTGAAGGTTTTGGAACTTATATACATTAAGTCCTACCAACCATCTCTCTGTAAGCAGGAGTGGTTGGTAGGTTTAAAGGTAATTAGCCTTTAATGTTATGTTTTTTTTTTTGTTTGCATAAACCCTTAGTCTGGAGTTATATATTCTTTAGTTGCTGTGTACATTTTTTTGTTCTCAAATTTTTCTCTGATGAGAGAGAGAACTGATAAACCGCTTTAATTATTTTAATAGTTATATTTTGGTATTACATATTTTGTTATAAATGATTTTTAATTTGTCTGCTTTTAATGCTTTAATAATATTTTGTAGCCCCTAGAAAAATATTTTGATTGATTTTAAAATTGCTTTCTAGAAGGAAAACTTATTCATTGCAAATAAATTGTCCGTCCTTTTAAAGTTGATAGCTGGTGTATATTTATTTAATGAAAAAAAAAAAAAAATTAAACAATTATTTAAGTGAGCAGCTATATATCTATGGATAATATGCTTCTCATAAAAGATGTTAACAAGGTTGGTTATTTAAGCTAGTATTAAAGATAATTTAATTCATCTTATTTTTTAAAATTTTTATTGCAACACTTGCTGTCATTCAAATTATTGGATTGAAAATGTTTTTAGTAAGATTTGAACCTGTATGTCTTTTCCTCAAAGTTTTGGCTATTCAGGTCAACTGTTTTACTTATTAGTCAATGATAACTATATCGTTAGATTTTAACTTCTATAACCAGTTGCTTCCATGGCCTAATTGGTAAGACAGCTGCCCCAGATGGTTGGGCTTCTAATCCATACTAATGGCAGTAGAGAATGATGAGCTGAGAGTTGCAATAAAAAGCAACAGAAATTAAAGAAATATTAGTAAAAAAAAAAAAAAACCCACAAAACTATGCTTCATCTATTAAATTCAAAGAATAATAATTTTCAGTTTGAATTGTTTGATGATGTTACTGTTTGTGCAAAGTTTTGAAAATGTTTTGATTTTTTGTTTCTAGTTTAACATGCCAATCTCCCAAAAAACAGCCAATCAGATTATTGGTGTCATTTTGGTATTAGTGGTTATTCTGGTGATTATCATGTCAACCTTCTTAGTCCATAAATTGTGCCTACTACGAAGACAGTAAGTAATAAGTCTAACTTTATCTTTTAAGAAGTCTTTTTTCACACCCTCCAATTTTTCTTTAATTTGAATAACTCTCATTTTTTCTTTGAATTTGATAACTTCTAGTGTGTGTTAAAATGTTTGTTCTCATTAAACTTTTCAATAATGTTAGACTTTCTCTTTTAAACGCTTGCCAAATATACTGTAAATTAGGTACTTCCACTCAGTTTTGATACTTAAGGTTTAAAATGAATTTTTAAAAATGAAAGCATTCTTGAAGCTTTCATTTTAGCTTTAATTGAAAGTGAAATGATTAAATTTACTATTTCCAGTAAGCAAAATACTCTGGTTTATTTCAAATAGAAATTATATTGATCAGAATCTCAACTTTTTGATCGCTTTCACTAAATCGGCCATTTTTACACATTTGTAAACAAAAGTTAATTCTCAGTTTTAAAAATCTTCCAAAAATAAAATATACTTTTCTGAAACTTTAAGGAATATTAGCTGATTTAAAGTATAATTAATCTGATTTGAAAAAATATTATTTACTTTAAGTTGAAAATAGCGGGGAAATGGATTTTTAAAACAAACAGTAGTGGTGATTATACACTTATCACCATCACTTGTAGATTGCTTAACAAGTGATGATAAAATCTGTCAGAACTTTTACTGTTGTTCTATGGCGACTTTATCTGTTAAACATAATTTAAGAAAATGATGGGTGAGCACCTTTTTTATATAATTTTGAAGTACTCAGTAATCTTAAAAATGTTGCAAAATATTTTCCGTAATCTAATTTCAGGAATGTTGAATTTAAATTTACTATAGTCAGCACTCTTATTTTCTGATTATGTTGTGTATGATTGACCATACTTTCAAACAGGAGCACATTACGTAATATTTCATATACATAAAAGAAACTGAAAATTTAAAAAAAAAAAATATTGGGGGTAAACAACTTTTATTGAGATTTTCAATTTTTGGTTTGTAAATATAGTTTTCCCTTAATAACAATATCACCTAACCAAATTGAAGTAATACAGAATTTTAAATGACATTATATTAGAATTAAAAAAAAAAAATTAAAACAATTCTTGTAAACATTCATTATTCATTGAAAATTTTTTTTTTTCTTAAGACAAGTGTCCTTAATAAATCTTATTCATAAAAGCAATTAAAAGCTTATCTAATTAAATGTTATAAATTTAATGCATTTTTTATTTTACAAATCGGAGCAGATTTTCGGTAACTGAGTGTCCTATTTTACAAAAAAACTGATTTAAATTCTCCAAGAAGTCCTGCTTTTAACTAATATGAATATGAAGAGGCTGAAATTTTAATTTCATAAAATTAAGTGGGATGTAAAAAAAACAAAAAAAAAACAAAACAATTCAAAATAATTTCATTCATTTGTGAATAAGTCCTGAAAGTTTCATTAAAATCCAACAATTATTTGATTTTAACAAATGTGTTTTTCACCTGAAAAAAAAAAAACTAAGTGTAAAAATGGTAAATAGTGACCACTGATGTAAAAAGAAAAAAAAATAGATTTTTAATCAAAATTTCAAATGTGCTAGAAAGAATTAAAAAATTTAATAAAATAATAAAAAAATACTTTGGTCTTTCCTCTTAATAATAACAAACATTTTGACAATAAAACTTTGTTTTTAAGTTTGGGGCCTTTTTTCATCAGGGTATGCTGTTTTTTCAGTGAAAAAGTGGAGGTACCTATTGTAAATGTTTATTAAAGCTTCTATTTTACTTTGTGCATATTTGTCTATAATTCTCTTCTGCACACAAACGCATGATGTGTTTACTCTTCAGAGTAGTTTTCTTTTTCATGAAGTATAGCAAAGATATTGTCATAATTCTGCTTGCTTTTGAAATTTAGATATATTTAAATTTAAGCACAGACATAAGAAGTTAATTTTCTCTTTTTTTTTTTTTTTTTTTTTTTTAACAGCAAAGTGGTTTATCGATATTCACTGCTCAGCCAAACAGAAGAAGACATCGATTCCCAATTGGAATCCGCCTTAAACATTCAAAAACCAGTTTATGATGAATGTTCAGATGATGAGGTACGTGCAATTTATGAATCTTTGCTTTGCTGAAAATTAACTGAATCTGTGCCAAATAAGCCACAAAACTAATTATTAAAACATCAATGGAAATATTTTTTACAAAATTTACTGTTTCCCATTTGTATACTTGATCAGATTTATATCGCTATAGTTTTACTAACTTTTTAACAAATAAGATTGAGTTTGAGATTTATATATATATATATATATATATATATATATATATAGTAAAAAAAAAGGAAAGAACAGTAAGATATAAAATCCAGTGTTCTTATTGATAATTTTATTTTTACAAAACAGTGCTCAATGTAAATTAACAGAGCATAAATATAAAAATTGACTGATGTAAAAATGTGGTTCCATTACTACACAGGAATTACCATGTTTCAAAAGCAGAAAGTAATAACTTCAAATTCAATTATATAATTAAATTAAAAGCACTAGTTCTGTTCCATCTTCAAGCAAATTTTGGAATTCACTTGAAGATGAAACGGAACTAGTGCTTTTAATTTAATTATATAATTGAATTTGAAGTTGTTAGTTTCTGTTTTTGAAACATGGTAATTCCTGTGTAGTGATGGAACCATATTTTTAAATCGGTTAAATAAATATATATATATATATATATATATATATATATATATATATATATAAATAAAAAAAAGAAAGAACTGTAAGATATATAATCTGGTGTTCTTATAGATATTTTTATTTTACAAAATAGTGCTCAATGTGAATTTACAGAGCATTAATATTATAAATTAATTGATTTAAAATGTTTTTTTTTTTTTTTTTTGCTACACAGTTCTAACCATGTTTCAAAAAATTTTGAAACATGGTTAGAACTGTGTAGCTTAAAAAAAACATTTTAAATCAATTAATTTATAATAAATAAATATATATATATATATATATATATATATATATATATATATATATATATATATATATATGGGGGTGCAAATGCTTCTTGGTCTCACTTAAAGGGAATGACTTCAAAGTCTGCTATGTACATGCTATTCTTTGCTTTTTTTTTTTATATAGCTCTTCCAGAAGAACTGTCATTGGAATAAAGCGTTGCTTTTACTATCATCTCTAAATCAGAAAAAAATCTCCTTTTCAAGCTTGGCAGCAGGACATAGTCAAATGTAGCAAGATTTGCTAGGGTGGATGGTCTATCGTTCAACCCTAAATTCTTAAAAACATGTTGGCAGCTGCGTCCTGAAAAAAAAAAAAAAAAAAAACGGACACCTTTTGGCAATTTGCCTTTTCAAACTTTGCATATTCTGCATTAACTGTTTGGCTCTTTTGAAGTTGTCAAAATAATTTCCTTATTCTCAAAAAATGTGGCCATGACCTTTCATGCTGACTTTTAGGTCTTAGTTTTTCTTAGGCCATAGAGAACTAGCTGCTACTGGAGAGTCTGTTGCTTAGTTTCTCGTTTAATCATGTAACCATGTTTCAAATGACAAGTTGTTCTGAAAGATTATCCCAAATTTTCTGTAAAATCAACTTGATATCATTTCTGATTGGCATTCAAATATTTTGGTACTGAATTGACCAAAAGCATCTGCATATCTAAACTGCTCTTGCATTGTAAATTCCGGGTATTCCCTTTTCTCAAAATTTTTTTTTTTTTTATATTGATTGGTTAATATAAACATAATCGACAACTTTAGAAGTCAACACCATTGAAGGTCTCTCGGACAGTGCTGCATCTGGAATGTTGTAGAGAGAGGAAGGTTTCTTAAAATCTCCACTTTGGTAGTTGGCACATCATTCTTTCACAGTTGAGTATGATGCAAACTTGTCACTTAATGCTTGCATCATACACTCATAGATTTCTTTTGGAGTTTTCTTCCGCAGGAACAGGAATTTCATGATGGTCTGGAGTGAAATACTTAAATTCCAATGACATTGAGATATTGGGGTGATGTGATGGATAGTAGCTTGAAATAAAAATTTGGAGAGCAGAGTTCAAATTCCCAGTTGGATTAATTATATTCACTTATGTGCATATATCATTGGGAAAGGTATGAATCCTTCTCCCCCAGCTATGGGTTAAATAATGGCTTGTATCTGGGGAAAAAAAATCATTGTTCTTAAAAAAAAAAAAAAATTGTTAATACCATATTCATTTGCAAAAAAAAAAAATTATAAACTTTATCCAAAAATTTTTGTTTTAAATAACCCACAAGGAGTTGAGCAATAAAAAACAAATTGAATTATTGACATAGTTCTATGATCTGAAACCAATTCAAAAATAGGTGTAAGTATCCTGTAAAATGGCACTTTATAATATCAACGTCCATCTTTTCAGCTAGTGACAAAATAATGGTCAAATTTTGGGAACTTGGATTAGGTAGAGAATTTTTCAATACTACTTGTATATTTTCACTATTTAATTTTAACAAAGTCAACATGAGAAAAACTTGGTAGATTTTACAATATTAAAAAAAAAAAAAAAAATAAGTATTGTATATTTGTCTCTTTTTAGAATAATTTCTGTTTTAATCTTAATTTGACAGAAATAAATTACACTTTGTGAGTTTCTTCCTTTTTTGTAAAAGCTTCTGACTTCTTTCATTGCTGTAGTTTTAGCAATTAAGAGTAAGAGAAGCCTTTTGTTTTAAATTGCTTCCTTGGTGTAAATCCATGTGATTTGCTTATCAAATATGATGCTAGAAAAATGATTTGTCTAATAGTGGATGCTCAAAGTTCACAGTTCCACTAAGAAGCCTTTCTCAAAAATATTGGATATTTGGTCACTTTTGGTACCACCTTGTATATTAACTAAAATTAGATTTTGTAAATTCCAATTTTGTAAAGTTTTTACTTTCAAATGGCTGAACTCCCCTGGATTTTAGTTTCTGCTTTCCTTGTTCTGGTCAACCAGGAAAGTCACCACAATATAGACTCCATCATTATGACTAGTTTTGTTGTTGGCAACACTAGCAATTTCTGGAGTGTTAAGCTAGATTTGGAATTTTGATGTGATTTATTTTATTGCTACAGTCTTTTGTTCTTGAATGATTACAATTTGCAATTTTGATAAAGAATGTAAGTCTTCTTTCAGGGAAATTATTTTTGTATTTTGAATTTTTTTGTGCTCTCTGAATATTGCTGTTTGAACATTGACTATTTTGGCTTATAATAACCAACATGGTTCACAGATACCAGCTGATTTTGAAGTTTTAGTCAGAACTTGTTAGTTTGTATCTTTTTAACACATGGCCTTAATTATCTCATACTTTGGTTGTGAGTTATACAAAGTTTTTTTTTTTTTTTTTTTTTTCTAAATTAGAAACCAAATTTAATTTTTTTTTTTTCTGTTTAAATTTTCTTCACATCTCAGTCTCGTCGATCTGGTATTGGTCAAAATTCCCTTTTTAGCCATGTGTCCCATTGTTCCTTTTTGGTTCTGCCAGTCTTGTTTCTTACCTCTCTTTTTGCTCCTTACAATTTTTTTTTTTTCTTACCCAGTCTCTTCTGATTTAGTGTTTCTAACCAGCCACCTTATTGGTCAGCATCAAACAAACTCTTCCCTTGGTACTTGAGATTGTTGGTAAGTGTGGGGAAACACATTTGATCTATCTGCCAAGAATCCCCCCACCCAAGTCATCTGCTAATGTTGTTTCTTGCCCTAAATTCTAAAATCCTGTGCCTTAAAAAAAAAAAAGAGTTGTGGTGGTGAGTGATTGTATCACATAGTGTTGGAACAAAATATGAGAACACAAATTATTGCAATACTTGAAAGTTATTTATATAATAATGAAAATACTTTGATATCAAAGATTTCTTTTACAATATTGTCTTGATAAAAATTATGGTAAAAATCTGGTAGTAGAAAAATCTTATGTGAACGCTACCCAATCCTGGTAATCTTAATCAATTAAGCTACCAAAGTGTTATCCTTGAAAGATGAGCTGATGTGTGTTTGCATTTGAAGCTTCTCCTTTATACTCAACTTTTGTAGTTTAATTTAACAACCAAAGAATGGATCAGTTAAAATTATACTATTAAAAAATTGATACTCTTTATTAGTCTGTTTATGAAACAATATTTTATACTCAATTTGTGAGGTTTTTAGTGTTTTCTTTAATATTTTTCTTTATAAAATAAGATTTTATATATAAGCTCTCAAAAATAGAGAAAGTAAATGAGAATGAAATCCATGATGTCTCTTCTGCCAAAAATTCAGCATTTAAAAAAAAAAAAAATTATGCCTGTTAAAAACAATGAAAAGATGTTAGATTTTAGCTACATTTATGCTAGTGTCTGACTTAATTTCTAATGTTGTAGTTCTTTCCTATAACCACCTGTCTTCATCTTCTCCTATTCCATTGTATGAATGAAATGCTTTGCTTGTAAATAAATACCAAGCAAATACTGCATTTGAACAAATTGAAAATCTGTTTAATTTCTTGCAACCATAACTCATTTTGTAGATGGCAAGGAGAATGTAAATTTGAAGAATGTTGTATATTTTAAATGTTATTTTATTTTTTTAATTTTCAATGTATTTCTGGTTATGTTTTGTTTGGCTGCTAGAAATGTACTGTTGTTGTGTAAATATATAAAATATAAGTTATATTTTATTTATTTTGCTATGTTTTTTGTGTATTTTTTCTTTTAATCTGTAGCATTGTGCATGTGTGCACAAGTTAATATATGTGTATACTTTTTTTATCCTTTAAACTATTTTTTTCAATCTTAAATTTTGAAAAAATTCTTAAAATGACCAGTATTTTCTGTGTATTTATTTCTTATGGTGACAAGTATAGAAAGATCTTTGTGAAAAAAATGGTGATCACTCTATCGATTACACTTTGTTGAAAATAGTTTGTGACAATTTATGAGTCTTGTCCACTCACTATTGTTTTTTAGCAAATGATTTTTAATTAATGGCAATAGAATATTAATAGCTAGTGCTAATTCCTGATCAAGCAGTTTATTAAAATATATAATATTGATTTAGGATTTGTCCATTATATAAATGGTGAGATGTCAAATGTATTAATATTCTCTTATACTTATTTATGAGTTAGGCCATAATGCATTTCAAACATCCAAAGTAATTGAAATAGAAAAAAATGACACCAACCTGTTAGGCTGAACTTGACTGGCTGACTTGATTGAATTTTACTGTTTTATTTTAATAGACAGTAAACATTAAAACAAGTTTAGATGAAATAATCATTCATGGTGTTTGATGCAGTTGTTTATTTGTATAAATGCCTGTGTATTTGATGTTAAAAATAGTTTACCTTTAATTTTCTCTTGAAAATTGTGAAAATACTAGATTGGAAAATAAGAATGTTCTTTTAATTTTATAATTGAAAGAATAGTTTTCTAAATTTTATTCTGAATTTAAATGAACAAAACTTGGAAATATTTTAAGTTGAATTGATAAAATATTAGTTCTAAAATATTTTAATGTTGTTTGAAGAAATTGTCTACACACAGAGCAAACAATTGTTCTTTGAAAAGTCAGTTGTTTATATCAATGCAAATCTACAAGTGAATTTGATGCTGACAGTACAGTTGTATGCTTCTAAAAGCTGGTAATGAGTTTTTTGGTCCATCTTACTGAGAAGTTTCCATTAACTAATCTCTCAGAAACATTTTGACCATTTTTTTTTTTTCTTTTTTTATTCACATGACCATTGTGTAGCCCTTAACCTGTCTAGTAGACTATTGGTGGATTTGCAAATTAAATTCTCAAATGCCAAAGTAGCATGTTGGATGTTAATTCAAATATAATGAGCCAAGTTTTTTTTTTTTTTTTTACCTTTTTAGTAAGGGTTATAAATTTTTAACATAGATCATAAATTATGATTTTGCCTTTTTGCACAGGTGGTGCAAGAAATTGTTCTCTGAAAGTCCCTTTTACAATTTTATTTCTGAGACTTTTTTTCTGATTTAAATCTTATCTATCTGCTCTTAAAAGAACATGCAATAGCATTGTGAATCACTTGTTAGTAAAAAAAAAAAAAAAAAATGAATAATAGGGCAGTTCAACTCTGGATGCACGTTATGATGCATAAACAAGATTCATTCAGTTCGATCCCCCCCATTGTACTTCTTTCAGAGTCTTGGATATGCAAATTTGGCAAAAAAGAAAATGAATCGATACAGAAAATTTGATGATTCAGATGATGTGAGTGTAAAATATATTCACTCTCCAACAAAATGGTGATTTGGAATTGTCTTGGTGCATTTTTAAATCTTTATGGGAGGTTTTAATAGCATGTTAGGTACAATCTATTGGTCACCTTTTTTTATGAAATGAAATCTCACACAGTGTTTGCTTGTTTGATTGCACTTTCTTTCTGCTTTAACATTCTGCTTGCTTTATAAACTCTCATCTTGAAAACTTTTCTTTTTAACATGAAACTAAAAAGCCATTTTTATTAATTTTCTGACCTTTCATGCCTTACCATAAATTTATGTATGCATGTGTAACACGTCACCTGAACAATATAGACCTATCTTTTAACACAGTGCTTTAGCCATTCCTCAATGTATTATTAATGCCTATTGTTAATGCAAGAACAGGCAAGTTTTAAAGAACTTCATCTATTATCACATAATCAACCTTTCTTTTTTTTTTGTTTGACCCCCTGTCATGGAGAGCATTTAGAATTCATAGTTTCATAGCAGAAGTTCTGCAGTGGCTTTGTTAACTCTTAATATCTGAAGAATTAACTGCTAAAATGAATCATTTGTGCATTTATATAATAGCTTACACCTTACAAACTTTCTACATCCAATATTTTGACCTTGTTTCAGAAGGGGAGTACCTCCCCCTTACCTCTCTCCATTTTACATATGCTGTAAATGTTTATTTTTAACCAGTGATAATTTAGTGGTGAGGAGGGACTTGTTTCTCACTTATGTCCTACATGACTGCATGCATGAAGATTTTGGTTATCATTTTCTTCTGTGATAAAAATATTCCTAAAATATCCGTAATAATGGATACTTCATCTCTAAATTTCAGGAAACCTTGTCTCTCTCTCTTGGTTTTATTTCCAACAAGAACTAAATTTAAAATCTTTAGAGCTGCATTTAGGAAATATTTAAATTCTTTGCATTTCTATTGTTACCCAATTTGTTTTTTTGTTAAAACATCCTTCTTTTTCTTGTGACTAAAAGGGTTCAATATATGAATGTAATTGCTATTAAATGTTTCTATATCTTCTGCCTCTGTGTGTGTGTGTAATTTTTTTTCCTTCTCTGCAGTAAAATATTTTTTGTCCAATGCTATAAATATAGGTGAATAAACATGTCTATTTGAATAAGTACTTGTCTTTTTGACAAGCACACTGAAATTGAAAATAATCCCTCATAAGCTGTTGATTAACAGAAAGAAAAATTCACATTGTTTTAAGTACTTGACTATACTTAAAATATTTTCTAGTTTTAAAATCTACCAAACTTTACAGTGTGCATTTTATTATATATATATATATATATATATATATATATATATATATATATATATATATATATATATATATATAATGTGTGTTTTCACTGTTTTTTTGTTATGTTAAAATAAAACAAGGCTTTAGGTATGTCAAGACAATAAAAATGGCTTTTTAGGAAAAGGGTAAAGTTTACAAATAAGATCTTTTCTCTTGTTAGCATTGTGTGCTGTGCCAGTTATATGACGCTTATAATTCTGTATTTTTAAATCAGGCTTAAGACAAGATTTTAATTAAAAATGGAAATTACTTTACTATTATGACCTTCAGAAATAACAGATGCACGTAAATTGCCAGTATATTGCATGTAACTTATTCACTTTTTATTTTTTTAAACATATTTTTCTTAACTATACTTTCATTGATTTTTCTGTTATTGTCAATAGAAATATTTAATTGGAAAGGAAAAGGTTAAATATTTTTCTGCCTGTAATGCTTATTTTCTGCACATTACAATATTTCTAGTGTACTTTTTATAATCTTAGTGGAAAAAAAAATCATTAATATTTCATTGTGAGATTTATTTTTTAATGTCTAAGGTTGTAATAGAAATCTAAAATTAAGAACTGTCTTAGCAAGTTAAAAGAAAATTCTTTGTATACTGGTCCATTTTGTTAATTGCTGCTGTCTTAGGTGATGTGGTGGGGAGAGTGCATCCCAGATTAGTTTGATATAGATCTTTATCCCTCATTTTTCATACTTCACTGGAAAAGAAAATTTGACCTTCCTTTTTGCCTAATGAATAAACTTTATTTTATTAGTACGTCTTTGGTTTCTTTTGTCATATTAAGTAACTTGATTAGTTTTATTTTTCTTCCCTAAT